TGTTTACTAGTGATGTTTCTGATCTATACAAAACCCTCAAACATGCCATCCTTAAACGCGAAGATCTAACAAATCGACAAAGGTTAGATCAACTCCTTAGCAACATTGACCTGCAACACGGCTCTGCCACAGACATGTTGCAAAGAATGATAGAAGTTATTGGCCAAAGAACCTTCGATGATGGCCTGTTCAAACAACTTTTCTTATCAAAACTTCCTCAACAGGTGCGAGCTGTTTTGGTCTCGTTTCAAAACAACGCCGTGGACCAGCTGGCTGCATCTGCCGACCGCATTATCGAAATCACTAAATCTTCTAACGCCGAGCTTTTTTCAGTCAAAGAAAAGCCTCAAACTACCCAGAATGACATGACAGAATTATGTCATACACTTACTCGTTATCTCAAACTCCGTAACGACCGTAAACGGTCACTAACCCCGCGAAGAAGCACATCACGTAGGCGGTCTGTATCTAGACCTCGAGAGACGGATAATCCTGACTGGTGCTGGTATCATAACCAGTATGGAAAGTCCTCCAGAAATTACACAAAACCCTGCGATTTTCCCAACTCAAAATTGATCGACACGAAAAATGTTTCGGGAAACTTCCAAGCCGGCACGATTTAACGGCAACCGTAGCCGGCCAACATAGCCGTCTTTTATATGTCACTGATGTGATAACGAGAGTTCGCTACCTCGTCGATACTGGCTCAGAAATTAGCGTCCTCCCAGCGAATTCCAACGACCGGCTTCACGAATCGGTTTTAAATCTACAGGCGGGAAACGGAAAGCCTATCTCTACGTATGGCAAAAGGTATGTTTATCTTAACGTTGGTTTACGCAATCTCATTCACTGGATCTTTGTTGTTGCGGATGTTTTTATGCCAATCATTGGTACGGACCTTCTGCAGCACCACAACTTGATCATCGATACGCGCAAACGGAGGCTAGTAGACGGAAATACTGATTTATCTGTTTGCGTAACTTCTTTTTCTGGTTGCAGGTTATATCCAGTCACTATTAGGCACACTATAGACCTATTCTATCAACCAATACTCGATAAATATCCTGGCATTTACCAACCGCAACCGAAATTGCCGTGTGTAACCAGCAACGTTACACATCACACCACGACTACAGGACCACCTGTATTCTCTAAAGCACGCCGACCGGCCCCCGAAAAGTTAAGGTTGGCGAAAAACGAATTCGACCATATGATAGATTTAGGAATCATACGACCGTCAAATAGCCCATGGACATCTCCGTTGCATATGGTCCCTAAAAAGGACAGCAAAGATTGGCGTCCAGCTGGTGGCTATCGGCGGCTGAATGCAAAAATCATTCCCGATTGTCACTTCAATGCCTCACACTCACGATTTGACAGCTACCTTGAAAGGTATAACTGTCTTTTCGAAAATCGACTTGGTTAAAGCGTATAACCAAATTCCTATGGCCACTGAAGATATTCCAAAAGTCGCTATTATAACTCCCTTCGGACTCTATGGATTTTTGCGAATGACTTTCGGTCTAAAAAACGCGGCATAGACTTTCCAAAGGTTCATAGATGGTGTTTTTCGAGGTCTCAACTCCGTACATGCGTATGTTGATGACTACCCAATAGCAAGTCTGGACAGAGAAACGTGTCTCCAGCATCTGGACCTTGTTTTCGACCGACTACAAAAACATGGCATTACTGTAAACATTCAGAAATGCCAAATCGGAACTGACTCCTTAGACTTCCTAGGACACACTATCGATGCACAAAGCATCCGATCCCTTAGAACAAAATTGGTGACAATTCTGGATTACTCAGAACCGACCACCATCAAGCGATTGCGCACATTCAACGGTCTGGTAAGTCTCTATAGACGGTTCATACCGAAATGCGCCTTAATTATGAAACCCCTTACCGACCAACTTCGTGGAAATACGAAATCCATCAATCTGGATGGCACCGCGCGGAAAAGCATTCTCAACAATTAAGAAACTTATCTCTCAAGCGACCATGCTTGCTCATCAGAAGACTGAAGCGCCCATTAGTATCGCAGTAGACGCATCCGACTCAGCAATTGAAGCAGTCTTACAACAATGGGTTAACCACTCCTGGCAACTTTTGGCATTTTTCTCTAGACGGTTGCTAGGCACTGAATCGAGGGACAGCACATTCGGTAGGGAACTCCTAGCTATGTATCGTGCTGTCCGGCATTTTCAACACTATATCGAAGGCTGTGAATTCACCCTTTTTACAGACCATAAACCTCTTACCTTCTCTTTAAGCTCATCGTCAGACAAGTACTCGTCACGTGAGTCTCGACAACTGGAATACGTTTCGCAGTTTACTTCAGATATTCCACACATTTCTGGAGCAAACAATGTAGATGTAGACGCCTTGTCTTGTATAAATTCTTTGAACAGTTTCCAAGGATTCGACCTTTTAAAACTCGCCCAGCTTCAAAAAGAAGACACTGATCTTCAGCACGAGTTGGTCTCAACAACACTTAAATTGCGCATCAAAAGGATGAGAACAGGGAAAAAAAACCTTACTGTGTGACGCATCTACAGGTAGGGATCACCCAATCGTGCCGAAACATCATTGACACAACGTCTTCAATACGTTGCACAGACTTTCTCATCCAGGGGTTCGTGCAACCATCAAGCTTATGGCAGAACGGTTTCGCTTGCCTGGTATGAATAAAGACGTGAGGAAGTGGGCACGCTCCTGTGTAAGCTACCAGAAATCTAAGGTTGTTGGACATAACAAATATCCCCTAGGCTCGTTTAAAACTCCCGATGCTCGCTTCGACCACGTTCATTTGGATCTGGTAGGACCTTTACCAGACTCAAATGGATACCTTTATCTTTTAACCTGAGTTAACCGTTTTACTTGATGGCCAGAAGCAGTACCCCTCAAGGACATAACTACTGAAACAGTGGCCCGTGCCTTCGTCGAACGATGGGTAGCAAACTTCAGCTGCCCAACAACCATCACTACAGATCGTGGACGTCAGTTCGAATCTGAACTTTTCCGTTGTCTGACGGCAAAATTAGGAATCACTCGCTTCCGAACGTCGGCCCACCACCCACAAGCAAACGGGTTAGTAGAACGTTTTCACCGACAACTACAAGCGTCACTATCAGCCTCAAACGTTTCTCAGTGGACTGACGCTCTTCCACTTGTCTTACTAGATATTCGCAATGCAGTGAAAGCTGACATTGAATACACTGCGTCTCAACTCGTTTATGGTACGACCCTTCGACTTCCAGGAGAATTCGTGGATCCTTCATCCTCTTCGATGGACATGGATCTAACCTCCAACACAAACAGGCTTACAAACGCAATGCGTTCAGTTAAACCTGTTTCCACTCGACCACAATCAACTGATGTCTTCGTTCAACCTGACTTACGATAAAGTACACACGTTTTCGTACGTCGAGACTCGCATCGACGACCTCTCGAATCAGTATACGAAGGACTTTTTAAAGTTCTTCGACGCTAAACTAAGTACTATGATATCGATAAGAACGGAACCAACGACAGCATCAGAATTGATCGCCTCAAAGCAGCGTATTTAGAAGGAAATCCTATTCACGTTACTAGTTAAAGCGTTGTCAAACTCCGAATACCTGTGGCATCTTCAAGCTCACACAAAAATGTGTCGTCAGGATCACTAAACTATGAGACTAATCTAATCGAGAGAAGATTTTAACTTCAATGCTGTTTGAGGTTGGTTACTTAATGTATTACTCCACGAACACTGCTATTATAGCAAACCAACTTACTTTACGTTTCATTCAAAAAACAAATAAGAAAAACATATCCTTTCTATATCAAAAACACTTCACCATTTATCAGTATATTCTGTGGAGCAAATAATTTTCTACTTTTTTCTAACAACCTCTTCTCTTCCTGATTTATATAAATGATCTTCCTCAACAGGTAACGCCAGACACATTGCTCTTTGCCGATGACGTGAAACTTTGGAGAGAGATACGCAACCAAGAGGACATACAGGCACTTCAGGGGGATCTGACTGGACTTCAAAGTTGGGCAGACGACACCGGACTTATCTTTAACACTTCAAAGTGTAAAGTATTCCATCTGCGACACGTCGCAGAATGCAATTACAACTTACGAAACTCCTCTCTAGTAGTATCCCGAGTCGAAAAAGATTTGGGAGTTCTGATGCCTTACGACTTAAAGTCTTAAGCCAATTGTGACAGAAATGCCTTTCGAGCAAACCTGGCACTGGTAACATTGAAGCGGATTTTTGGTCAGTTTGACGGGAGAACTTTTCACATAATCTTCAATAGTTTTATTCGTCTCCATTTAGAGTACGGAAACATAGTATTCCATCCTACACTCCAAAAGGATAAGGACTCTGGAGCGTATCCAACGGCGAGCCACGAAATTAGTTCGGGGACTCAAATTTAAATCTTACGATGAACGCTTGTCAATCACTCGACATTTACCCATTGGAGTAAAGGCGTCTTAGAGGTGACCTTCTTATGGCTTACAGTATCCTCAACACTCCTGGACATCCTCTTAAACCCCTACTTAGGCTTAGTCCCAACACTAACCTAAGGGGTAACACCCAGAAATTAGAGATACAACATAGTAGAACGGACTGCAGACACAACTTCTACTCCTTAAGAAATGTCAAATGCTGGAATTCGCTGCCAGATGAGCTAGTCCGAGCAACTTCTCATGAGTCCTTTAAGAGGCGACTTGATCTATTCTTAAGGACTCAGGATAGTATCTTACTATGATTTACCAATTTCTTTTTTCTCTTTTATCGTTAATTTACCGAGGTTCCTGCCTGGAGGTATTGATGATCTCCTGCTACTAGACACGGAAGCCTGTTAAGCGAAAGCTTCTTCTATTCCGTCCACAAACATTTGTACCATTTGAGTTTGCGCGCTCTAATTGAAGGTGGAGTTACATTCAGACGTGGTGCTTTGGGATTTATGTGGCGTATTATTTTCTAGCACCTGATATCAGTAAGCGATCGCTTGACAAAATTTAGATTCACACATTCTTTCTTCAATTTTCATAATGGCAAAATCATCATTCAGTCAATAAAATTATTTTAAATTAGACACTTGGATTATAACAAATGAACAGTTCAAACGCAATAGAAGTGTTATTCATCATTGTTTAGAGTAGATGATTTCCTTTTTAATGAACCACAGTCCTTTTCCAACTGGTTTGAAGTCCTATTTTAGTTCATTCTTTATGAATTTAGATGAATTAAACACTGGCCAGACAATTCATATGATCACGAATTGCTAGAGTTCATAATGTCACTAGCTTTACTTCAGGATATCCCATCCAATATAATCTAAATAACTGTCTGTTCATCAGGTAGTCCTCACTCTGGAGGGTATTATTCTACTTATCTGCACTTCACCCATAGCGGCGACGTAGCCATATTTATATTTATGCTGTTATGGTTTATCGAGCACACACGAACAGCGTTCAGTGTATGGAATGTTGATTTAAAGTGGCCAACTTTTTCTAGAACTGTACAATCAACTGGAGAACATCAGTCCAGTTTATATGGTAACATATGTAGGCTGCTTACCTATATACGAGATCTCTTAAGAAAAGGTTGTCGGTAATAGGAAGTAACCAAAATAAAAAACTTAATTAATCAGTCATTGAAGTGAAAACCAAAATTTAAGGTTAGATGTCATAGGGTTAGATTTCCGATTTCCGTCAGTATTTGTTTTAACTTCGATTTTCGTCATCATCGGTTCGTTTCGATCGCTATACGAAACCCGATCAGCCTACTGCATAGCAATGAAAACTGGTCTTTTGATCATCTTAATCAAACCAAACGTGCTTCTAGTGACTTTCCATCTAAATGCGAAATATTACTTCAAGATTAGTCTGCATCAGTGCCTAAACTGGTCTTACAGTGGTCTTGAGTGCTGTTAGAGGTATGAGGGTGGTTATCACTTCCCGGTTGCCCACACCGTGGAAGGGTTCTGCTGGAGGTGCCTGAAAAGGAAGTTGGATTAGAGGTGGTCTTAGTGACCTGAGAGCGTGACCGCAGTGTCCAAGGGACAGCTGCTTGAAGTCGGTCACACACGACCTTTTTATGGGTAATTTTTGTGTTAGCTCCGTACTTGTTGAGACCTTACCGTGGGATAAGGCGAGGTGTGCATTGTTAGGGTCGACCTTTTCTAACCCCACCCCTCCTTTTGGGAAGATAGCGTCGCTGTTATGCTGGTTGTCTGAAGGAAACACCTTACTGTTGTCACACCTCTGTACAGTCAGCAATACGACTTCGCCTTCGGACCTTTGTTTTGTTGCTTTTAGTCTTACCGCTCTTCAATCAACCTGTCTGGCATGCTAGAACCTTGAGAAACGGTTGTTCCAGCCAGTATAGCTCAGTTGCTTCATCACGATAGGCAAGCCCGACCACCACGTCAAGGTAGCAACAACGGTCAGGCTAAACTGTTCATACAGACATGAGTAGTTGAGAGCGTAAATCGCTTCACTTATCGTGGAAGCCTCTTTAACCTTGGTGCGTTGTTGTATAAAGAATTCGAAAAGCTCCCCAAACCGACTTACATCACTCATAGCGTAGATAAAATGTCTTTATGCTGTACAGCAGTTTTCTTCGTTTTACCCTTTGACTATGAAATATTTTCGTGGGTTATTGGTATTTGATCATAGATGCCTTCGAAGGATTGTTCACCTGTTTGAGTCAAAAGGTAGGATGCTGAGATTGGATATAGGGCACTGGGTAAAAATGTTAAATCGATTGATAAGGTAATGAATCTTCGTTGATTGAGGTGGTCAAGATTGCGTATCTGGACGCACGATACTTGCTGGAATAGAAGCGAGTTTGAAAAAGTTATTGTCTAGGCCAGGATGTGAATCTGGTCTATGAAAACACTATCTTACTGAACCTTATAGGGAGGTGCAAACTATCAGGTTGAGGTCTGCCCGCTTATTGTAACCGATAATTGGAAACGTTTAGTGACATGATCCGGAGTTATAAAGTTATTTTGTACCCCTTGTTCTTCCACTCATCTTTAGTCATATTCTCTATACTCAGTGTTTTTTTCTGTCGCTGATACTTCTAATTATACTACCTTGGTATTCATCTTGATAATTTCATCTCGTTGTAATGTTGTGATGTTGAAACTTGGACCGATAAACATTTGTGTCAGGTTTTACGATGCTTGTGAGTGACTAACAGGGAATTTTAAGTCTCTGGGTCGTGATTCATATTTATCATATGAGTACTAATACAAGTCTCTGGTTGCCAAAGTCTTGTTAAGCACTTTCAGGTATGATAAGCATAACGTTAGTTGAGGACTATTGAGTACTATTAAACTGTACCTGGATATTCAAGTTCTGCAACATTTGCAAGAAATAGTTTGTTGTATTTGGTTTTCTTCATTTTATAGGTTTACCTACCGTATCAAACAATGACATTTTAAGAATGAATCAAAGTAAACTAGAATGACGCGCATTTGTTGTACATTTTGTGATATGTGCTTCGGAAAACCATCTCGACTAGAAGCACATCTGAGAATCCACACTGGAGAGGTAAACATATTTCAAGTTCCTTTTAAATAACGAGACCACTACTTATTGGTTCTTTTCCAAAATGTTTTTACCCAGTTCCGAATATTATTTTCTTACCCTAAGTGATTGATGACTGTTGAGATTAAAGCTATGGTAATGCATTTTAATAAAGAAGTAGTTTGAAGCACTAAGCTTTTAGCTACATTTTTTGTTTCTGATTAGAGGTACCACCTAGTCTAATGATATGAAACCGGCTTTAATATTCGCTCAGGTTGGTTAGTTATTAACACTTGTTACAATCTTAAACAATCTAACAGATCTTTTTATTATATCTTGTGTGTCATATCTGTACTATCAGTTAACCAGGGATGTAATATATTTTATCCATCATACATTGAGAGTTCGTCGGCAGATATCCCTGTCATATATGGTAAATTTTGCCTTAAGATCTGATCTTTGAGTTAGATACTTATTTACACGTCGACTACTTTTAGGACTACCAAATCATCGACCCATAGTAAAAATTAGTTCTTGTCTCGCTCTGTGCGTTTGAATAATTTTTTCTGGTTAGCGTTTTTTAGCGAGTTAGTTTTCTACGGGATGGGGTCTCTAACCCCATGCCCAACCCTCCTCCTTTATCCGGGCTTGGGACCGGCAGTAGCCCCCGGAGGGACTCCAGGCCGAGTTCTCGCTCTGTACAAGTCCACATTAATTCTCAGAAATGCTCAATTCATAAAACCCTATTAAAAATGCACATGAAATTCTTCATAACAACATATGTATTTGTTATATCCGAGCAAAGATTAAATCACGAGTAATTTCTGAGACATTAATTGACTAATATTATCTATATATTCTTACGGTATAACTATTCATTAGTTAGGTTATGTATATTTATATTCCCCTTATCATAAGCTTCACTTTGACCTATAATTTATCACTGCACGATTTACTGTCCCTAAATTATGCTCAGTTTATTAATTACTGTCTCCCACATTCACAGCCACTTTTTGGCCTATTTGTGTACATATGTTATTTTCTATTTTATGGTACGTTGTGGTCTGCCTGATTGATATATAAACCGAGTATGTCTGAAATAAATGATTTGGTTCGATTTGGTTGATTCGGAAGCTGGTATTGTGTTCTGAACTCGAGAGGACGGGTTAGAAGGACGTAGGACCCAATAGGACGCTAGACTGCTCAGACCGGTTGAACGTCATTGGTCTTGTCATAGTGCGAATATTCGTATAAGCCGTATTCTGATTGGTGTATAAGTCACGTGATCGTAAGCCGGACATCAAAATCATAACAGTATTCCATCCATTAAATATACGGTCTGAGTTCATAGAAACTTTGTTTAATAAAACCCGTAGTATATCAGTTTTAGTCCCTTCAGTATATTCTTAATTTATTGAAATTCATTTGTCTCATCTCCGTCCTCAACATTCATAAAACTTTAGAAGTTAAGCCCCTTAGCTTCCTCGTTTCAAGTTTTTATAGGATGGTCTGTTCCAACGGTGTTCTTAAATGCAGTTCACCGATGACTTGATAGATAGTAAATTGACAATTTAAGAGGGCAAAGGATCTAATCCATCCCATGTTCTCATCAACTAACGAGCTTGATAATCATCTGGACGTCGTTGTAATCATCATGGCTCTTACGGAAACTCTTGGTCCACTTGAAACAAGTTGTTTTATTGATTGTTATCCCTGTAAACCTCTTGATATTTCATTGCTTTCCTAAGTTTCACCATTTTAGATAAATTCGCGTATTTATTCAGCAAAGTAGTCACACTTACATATATTAACATTTGTAAATCTTTATCTTTCTAATCTGATGCTAAGATATGTCAAAAATACTAGCTGACAGATTTACTAATCTGGCACCGTTGTGTAATTGGTTTACTGAGCGATCACCTCGTCTTATCAGTACACCTAGAGGAATTTACTGTGCTTTCGACTATTACTAAAAATTGCTGTTATTGAGTCTTATCTACGCAAAGTATCATTTAAATCTGAATTATCCCTCTGTGTCTGTACGAGATTTCAAGGCGATGTCGGCTTGTTTTCTTAATACCTTGGTAAGCCTATGACTTGTTCCTAATGAATATGTTTTTGTGATATCCCAATGAGTAGAAGGTTGTATTTCTGACGTTCCATGACTTAATGTAAGCCACTTTTTTTCAGAGTAAATAAAATGACTTGTTCGTTTAAATCCTCAACTTCTAACTTCTGGATAATACGTCCAAATCTTACTCCTTGGAAGAATAATACCGCTTATTAGTAATATCGATTTTCTTTACACAGTATATTTAGCTCATCCTAGTGTGTTTTCTCATGGTTGCTAATAATCAGTTTTTGTGAATTTGAGCTGCTTTTTTAAAAGAAGTGTATCTACTTTCATTTTTCTTTTCCGCACTTAATCAGTTGGCAATCAGTGTCCGTAGGTATGGTATGTGCTTTGCACCTTCGAAGTGCAAAGTCCTTCTACAAGACTGGCAGGATTCTAATCCTGTACTCACTCTGGATGGTGAGCAGATAGAAGTAGTCGCATAAATGCTGTAGGTGGTGTGAATGATGAGATCAATGCACGTATAGTGAAAGCCAGAGCGGCTTATGCCAGTCTGGGCCATCTTTGGCGCCTTCGTGATGTTAGTCTGGCTGTAAAAGGTCGGATCTACAACGCGACGGTGAGAGCAGTTTTGCTCTATGCTTGTGAAACCTGGCCTCTCCGAGTTGAGGATGTTAGACGACTCTGTGTTCGATCATCGTTGTCTCCGAAGGATTGCTGGCATCCAGTGGCAGCACCATGTCAGTAATGCAGAGGTTCGGCATCGAGTGTTCGGTCACAGAGACGATAATGAAATTGGTGTCACCATCTTGAAACACCGACTTCGGTGGCTTGGACATGTTCTATGAATGTCGTCCCAGAGAATTCCTCGTCGTGCATTATTTGCCGACTCTGGGACTGGTTGGAAAAAGGGGAGAGGTGGTCAGTATATGACATGGTGTCGTGGTATGAAAGAAAGCTGCAAAGGGCTAGCTTCTGTTGGACCTTCACGACTCCCTGGTTGGGGTCCGAGAAATGGTGTAACGCAGTGGCTAGAGACGTTATCAGATATGGCTCAGAATAGAAGCCAGTGGCGATCCTGCTGTAACCTTCTTTTACTTTCTTCATAAAAAGTGGTTGTATCTTCCTTAACTGAAAGATCTCTTCTGATTGTACCTTTCCGTTTCCCCCATCATTGTTCTCTCTCTCTTTTTTTTTTATAATTCCCCACGTTCATTACATTTTTTTTTCTCTTTTCTCCTTCTCTTCAAATTATCATTGTTTTGTGTGGCGCATATATATTTGGTGCCCCCCTGTACCAATATTTATGTGTTCAAATAAATAAATAATTAATTAATTTAACTAGTAAAAAACAGATAAATGTACCCTAACTCTGCATTGAACAATAATCAAGGATTTATATGATGTTAGTCCTGTCTCCCTCTCTAAATGCCCTCACATGGTCACGCGTATACAGCCACTGCCAGGGTAGTTCTACTCACCGCCTTCTCGCAGCGGGGATGTTTACGAAATTGAGAGGACGAAAAGCGAATGTCCGGCACTTTAATCGAGTTGGTGGATATAGAGAATCCACCTAGGTGAGTTGGAAAACCCTGGTTTCAAATCAATGGTGCACATGCGCTTCAGGATCCTGAAGGAACAAATGGCATATGAACCAATTATTGATCATCGGCTACCATGGGATTGCATCTTCTGACGTTACTCCACTGTCTTGTGGCCCAGACCTTTAGATCGAATGCTCCGAATGTGGCCCCCTAAGAAAACCACCTGCTTCGGTTTGGGAACCCGGGTAGTATCACAGCTTACACACAAATCAAGGGACTTGTGTGGCGCATATGTATTTGGTGCCCTTTTGTACCAATATTTGTGTTCAAATAAATAAATAAGTTAATATCACTTTGCATATGCTAAGGGTTTTTCGATTTTATGTCTAATCAAGCTTGCTTTGTATGTTATGCAGTTAGATTACAATAAATCCAACTCCCTGTTGGTAAAAATCAAGTTATATTTTATGAACTTTGTGACGAATCGGATAGTGTCAATCAGTAACAATAATTCCGCCAGTTTTTCGTATGCCGAATGTCTGTCTAGTTTTTAAAATAACTAGTCTAGTTGGCCTCCGAAATAGGAAAGTAATTAATACTGTTTAAACTAGATTTTCGTGCCCACTCATAATCATACTACAGGTCATTTATAACACTTTATGAGTAGTTGATGGTTAAACTGTTCAACCTTTATCGATTGGGTCCTACTTTACCTATTTCTGTTTGGACATTCGTGTTGTATAATAACAAATAATAATTAATACATGTTGCATTATGGCGACGAAATTCCTAATATACATGGGTGTGTTGGCGAAACCTGTGAAATGATTCAGTTCAAGTCATGTTCAGCATAGCATTCGTAAAGTTAACAAATCCACTTTTTCTCATTGTTCACTCCACTTCTAGCGTCCATATGTATGTATGTGTGGTAAAACCTATACACGTAAACAACATTTAACTCGTCATACTTCAAAATGTCCCAAAACTATTCAAGAAAACAACTTATCTAAACAAAAGGAGCCAGTAAAAGTCGAAAAAACCTATTCGTGTTCACAGTGTTCTGCTGGACCTTTTCAAAAAAAGAAAATGGTATCGGCTCATATGGCTATAGTTCATGGGTAGGTGCTAACATTTTTGTTTTGTTACTACTGTTTGTAAAAGTTCATCTTACGGTTATGTATGACCCTTAGTCTTTTGTTATTTAAATGGTCTTAAACCACTGGATCGAAAATTAGTTTTCATTACCTACGTTAGTTTCAGGGGCTATACAGAAGTACCGATTGAATGAACTAAAGTATCATGATTCACTCCTTCATCTACAATTCAGTATTCAGTCGCTAACAGTGTATTAATTTAGTTCGTTCCGTTTTATGTTTGCATATAATCGTGGTGAGATTGTATTCAACTACTTGATATCCATGAGTGCAATTAATACTATTTCATTCGCAGAAAACGAGTGTAACCGTATGATTCGCTGCTTTTCCTTCTCAGTTGTATGCCTGTAGTGGATTATCTTCGGGATAATTTCTATTACTTCGTATATCATTCATCCTGTTAACCGTTATTAAATAGCTCTCATCGGTATATATATATATATGAAAAGGGAATATGATCAAGTATTCATGTTCATACAGATATGATGATAATATTAAAAAGGTCTAAACAAATTATTACTGTTGGGATGACACTGTCAAACATGTTCATTGAAGGGCTTAACAAAATTGAACGTCTACGGACTGAAGTGTAGATAAGGTGCTATATTTTATTGAGAAGTCTTAGGTACACTCCTTTCATCAGAGGAAGTTTTTTGGGAGAAATGCATTCAGTTGGTCCTAAACTATCTCTAAAAATGTACCACTGAGTCTGTATGATTATATTTTTCTGTATAACGTATTTTCAGTAAACTGGATCAAATGTTTAAGCTAAAGACTGTATTATTTTTCTTCAGTGGAGGCTTTCTTATAGTAGCAATTGTAAACTTTTAACTTAAACGTTAATAATAAATTTATTTTCTATTATATTCCTATGAGTAAATATAACCGAATTCGGTTAGTTATTTACTCTGGAAAAGTGGCTAACATTAAGTCACGAATAGTCAGAAATACAATTTTTCTATTCATTGAGATATAACAAAAACAATGGTAACACTTCAGTCAATACGAATACAAGTAAAAAAGATTCTTTCAGTTCTAGAAGTTTCTCTCACTTCTAGGAAGAAAGTTACAGAAGTGCCGCAACTGGCCTCTATTCTTAGTAATGTCTGATAGCATATCAAACCACTGTGTTGCACTCTCTCTAGTATTCCAACTCCATTTAACCAAGAGTTAATAAATGTTTATAGTCACACAGACATGTGATGATTAGGATAAGAAGAGAACACACATATGCGCTCATATAAAAACAGTGAAGATTGATAAGCGAACAATTAACAAGGTCAAAATATGACTCAAGTAGAATGAGTAGATTGGCTTGTCCGAAAGCTAGAATAAGGTATATGAGTTCCGGCAGATCCCAGTCCGGTTCTGCCATCTTCCACATCACGACATCATGTTATAAACTGGCCACCTCCTTTTTTCAACGTGTCCTAGTGTCTGTAACTAATTCACGATGTAGTATTCGCTGGGATGTCATGGGGAGTGTCTGTGATGTCACCTCATCATAACTGCTCATTTCGGTTTGTGATCCTTTTAAGTGTCGTTTGATGAATTCCGTTGTAAGCTCCCAAATTATCGTACAAATTAGATCGCTATCGTTGATTAGTAGAGTGGTTGTGAACCTAGTTGAAGCTTTTCAAATAGTGAGGAATTTTTGTAGTTTAATGATCACTATTATAGGTTCAACTTGAATTGACCTGAGCTGTTGTCTAAAAGAATAGGTGCTCAGGCAGATGGTAACTGGGTATGTTTAACACATCTTGACCGTTGTAGTTGACACACACTTATGAGAGAATCAATTGATTTGTGGTACTGTGAATCATCTTATCCAGGAAGTGGGAAACCTAATATGAAGTTTCTTAATAAAACTATATATATATATATATATATATATATATATATATATATATATATATATATATCGTCTATTTTACATTAATACATTATTCAAGCGAACGGAAGCATGTATGTGACAAATGTGATCGAGCGTTTCCTACGGCATCTAAGCTTAGACGTCATTCAACAAAACATCATGGTTACACATGTAAGCTGTGCTCTGAACAACTATCTGAAAACCCTGAAAACGAAGAATCAGTTTCTCTCAAACTTATTCATTTTGATAGTTTTGCGTGTTTGAGACGCCATATTGCTAAAGTTCACCCCAAAACACGTAAGTTACTTGAACCTTTGCGCATTTATTTACTTCACGAGGTTTTGTCGCTTGTTACTTTGATATAGCAGATTTATGTTTTCTCAAAACACTAGTGTTAATATCATGGTTTACTTCCAATTAGTTACCCTTATATATTATTTCTTCTTGTTCAACTGTTTTGATGTTGCTTCCTCTCTAAGGTTATGTTATAATTTCTCTTATTAAGACCCAGTTATTCCTATTGCTTAATATTCTCGGACACCAATCGACTCGACAAGTCCCCAGGTCAGAACACGTTTGAACAGGAATGAAATTATATTCCAAATAACAAGGGTAGATGGAAGTAGAAATTTCAATAAGAAAAACATCATTATATTTATAGTTTTCACACGAGAAAATTCTAGAGTCTTCTCCAAATCTCTGCTAGCACTGATTGGCTAGGAAATAGCCAATCAACATACCTCATCACAATCTTGCACGGAGCATCCTTTAACCCAATCTATAGCCTGCCAACAAAGGTCATGTAAAAGCCATATATAGAGTGGTTACTTACTTCATGGCACCAAAGTTTCTTGCATAGTCTGAACTTCCCTCCTTTTAATTGTTGTCGAAGTGTCTTTGAGTATTATTTGTTTGATGTGTCTTTATCTGCCCATTACGTAGAATCTCTTCAGTCGTGTAGATCCCAGTACAGTTAGTTTGTTAGCTATTAGTAACTGATGAAATGGGCAATGAATACGGTAGTCTCTCCCTAATAGTTTGTATCTTACTGAGCGCCGGGAACATAAATGACAACATTCTAAATATAGTTAAGAAGAATTATTTTTTAACGAAAAAATTATTTATATCCATTTTTAATCAACTAAGTATTTGCTATGTTTGAAGAGATTACAAGGTCACTTGAAATTGGCGAACAGAACGAAGGATCAGTCACACAACAACAAGACAGATAAAATATTCCAATGCGTCCCAGCCCCTCGAACTAGAGAGAGAAGCTCAGGTTCAGATGAAGGAAAGTATATTTCACAAGCAGCCAAAAGCACGAACAACAACAAACACACAACTCAAGTGTACATATGTAGCATATAAATGTCCTTGGGAAACGTTATAAAGTAGCTTATTGAATGAGCAACCAACTAATGACATATAAGGTCCAGTCAAGTGGAAAATGTAAGCTGGAGGTAAAAATAGGAGCTTTTGCCGCGAAAACGAGAAATTCAAATTTTCAAAATAAAATTACAAAACTACGACATTAACCAAGTCATTTCTGGTGATCTAGCGTCCCCAACAGCATTAAAGTAGAAAAAAGGATCTGAATGATTGCATCAACAATTTACTGGACTATCTAGTGGGATTATTAAAAAAAATTTGGCAGTATAAATCAATCTGATCAGTCCGTAGCATAAAATTTGGGAAAAAGAACAAGTGCTACTGACAAACTGGAATGAAGGATACCTCATCAAGATGTGAAAGAAGGATCTGAGCAAATGTGAGAACTCAGCTACACAGACATCACACTACTGTCAGTACCAGGAAAAGTTTTCAACAGTGTTGCTAAACCGGATGAAAGATTCAGTAGACTCCAAATTTCGAGATCAACAGACTGGATTCCATAGGGATCGGTCATACACAGACCAAATCGCAACACTACGGGTCATCGTTGAGCAATCTATTGAATGGAACTCGTCACCATACATCAACTTCCTTGACTATGAGAAGGCGTTTGACAGTGAGAATAGAAGATTCTTATGGAACCTTCTTTGACACTATAGTATGAGTGGCTGGGAAGATCGTTAACATCATCTGGGATTTGTACGATGGACTACAATGCAAAGTGGTACGTGGGGAACAGCTGACACGCATCCCAAGTGAGGACTGATGTCACACAAGGCTGCTTGCTCTCACCTTTCTCTTTCCTCTGGTTATTGACTAGATTATGAAGGTCTCCATATCTGCGGGGAAGAACGGAATACTATGGACAGCTTAGACGTAACTAGATGATTTGGACTTCACAGTCGACCTAGCCCTCCTATCTCATACACACGAAGAAATGCAGATGAAGACAACTAGTGTATCAGCAGCCTCTGAATCAGTAGACCTCAACATACACAAAGGAAAAAGCAAGATCCCCAAATACAACACGGACAACACCAACCCAATCACAGTTGATAGAGGAACTCTGGGAGATGTGGGAACTTTCACGTTCCTGGGAAGTATCATCGATGAACGTGGAGGATCCGATGTAGATTTGAATACGAGAATTGGCAAAGCAAGGGTCGCATTCCCACAATTGAAGAACATATGGAATTGGAAACAACTGTCTCCAAGCCACCATCAAAATCAGAATCTTCAATGCGGACGTCAAGACAGTTTCACTGTACGGACCTGAATTGTGGATAACTGCCACAACCATAATCGAAATGTACGAGTATTTCTAAACAATTGTCTGCACAAGATGCTGAATGTCCGTTGACCGGATACCATCAGCAACAGCCTTCTGCGGGAGAGAACAAATCAACCTCGAACGGAAGAGGAAATTAGGAGGAGACGTTGGAAGTGGATAAGACATACATTACGGATTCTACTTTTTTCCAACTCACTATCAAATTAAATTAACAAAAATAATGGAAAATTATATACTGTAGATAATGGATGTCGTACATATATCACATTGAATTACAATATGATTTGGCGCTTGATCTTATTCCAACAAATGTCAACTCTGAAAATGGAACAGGTTTATTTCAGAAATGATAGCTTACCAAAAAGTGCTGACACTTTTTCTAGTGCGACATTTATATAACTAGTTGACTATTTGTATTCATCTCACATCGCAGTTTATCCTTACATTTACGTTACATAATCCCCTCTTTTTCAGAAATACAATATACCTAATCCATAAACACTGGTTTAGGAATTTTGGTTAACTGCAATTAATTAGGATTCTTAAAGAAATTTATTTGAGGAGTAGTTCCACAATAGAACGAAACCGTTGTCCAGTGCTTCCAGATTTCCAACGGTGGTCTAATATCAATCTGTCCATGATCTCAATCAAAAACTTAATAATCTCCACAACCCCTATACTGATATATAAATGTAATTCATTTGCGAAGTGTACATTTATGTAGTTTGATTTGAACCATCCTATATGTTTAAGGTCTACTGACCCTGTTTTTATGATTAGCGTTTATTTAGCAAGGTTGTTTTCTACTGTATGGAGTTGCTGACTCCATACTCAACTCTTCTCCTTTGTTTGGGCTTGGGATCGGCAGTAACCCTAGAATAGCTACAGACAGACTTAAATTTTCTAAATTGTTTTATACGCCGATATTACTATCCATCTATCCAAATCGAAGTAGTTACAGTGGCATTCAAACCTTGAACTTACTGGTTGAAAGCTGTGTACTTTAGTCATCAAAATTAGCAAAATATGTAAATCAGGGATAACTTCAGACCCTTTAGACTAAAAATAATGGATTTATTAGTATGCACAATTAGCTGTTACTACTATCGTTACTTCGACTGTATCTGTTTTTGTTACGTAACCATTTTTTTCACAGCTTTGCAATGTCCTACTTGTAATATGCGTTTTACAAGACCTGCTGCACTAGCGGAACACAAATCTACACATACCCCTGGTGGACCATCTGTTAGACGACGTTTTATTTGTCCTTTATGCTCACCTGATGTTACGGGTGATAATGATAATTCCAACTCACAAGAAAAAGATTGTCTTGTTGCATTTACAGCCAAAAGAAATTTAGATGCTCATATGCGTTTAGTGCATGCTAACCTTAAGTTTCCATGTACATGGCGTGGATGTCCTGTTCTTTTGTCTACCAAAGTAAGTAGACATCTAGTATATTTTTAACAGTAACATGTCATGATTCAAAATTGACAGCAGTATCAAAAATGGATTCACATATTATGATTCCCCAAATTTTAATTTTCGCTATTCTTATACACCGTATATTTCGTAAGTGAATTTCTTGTTCTCTGTGTACTTAGTTTTTCTTACCATTCTCGTACCAATATGACATCTAATCATTTACTGTTCATCGTGTCAATTTTATCTCGATGTAGTGGAAGAGTTTGGCAACTTAGATTAATGTGGGTCTACTCATGTTCTTACTTTGGAAATAACTGAATAACTATGAGAGAAAAATTGTTAGTTGAGATTCATCTTTAAAAATCATAAGCATTTGCTTTTACAGATTTCTTTTATTGTTTATACAATTGGTCAATCAATCAGTTGCTACAAATATGTCCAAAGACCTTTAATATGGTCGGAGTCCTTTTACAGTACTAGTATATATATACTGAACACTATGGTCTTAGATTAATAAAACTTTCGGAACGATTTAATCATTTTATTTATGCACTTTTTCGCATTCTCAGTGCCATACTAAGGAATGTTTATTTTGGGTCATCAACACGTATTCAAAGCACGCGGATCGTATTTTCTTTCCCCTTTCATTAAGATCACACGCTTGTCATTTATCTTTTCATACAGTAAATGTGTCTGTCGCTTATGTTATATTAAAACTCGAATCTACCAGTAGCAGGTATATAGTGTAAGTGAATGTGGTTAGCGGTTGAATCAGGGATTCACGTTTTGTCTCACCTAGGATTCGTCAGCTGGGTGTACTTACATCCCAGAGTGGACATGAACTGCGGTGCAGATACATTCAGCTGATGAATCCCAGATGAAACAGGCGTCGTGGATTCAACTGTCAGCCACATTAATCTATTCTACATAAACTCGTGTCACAATGGCTATATCAATGCATTCCGCACAGTATGCATGTATAACTACTAGAACTGATCAAAGTTCAGTCAAGTTGTCAACAGTGGCAAAGTCCAGACGCATTCTAAATTAAATTGAAAAAGTAACATTTATATTTTATCGACTATATTACTTATAAGTAGCTGAAAATTTTAATCTCACTTTTCCTTTCTTATTTTACACGAGAAGTCACTTTTGTATATTTCATGAACATAGTAAATATTCAATTCTATTTATCTGACCATTTTACTCTTTATTGGTTTTTTTCTCTTAATGTTTAGCAAAAACTGAATGAACATATAGAACGTCATCGACTAGGCAAGTCAGTTGCTTTCAAAAGCCGAAATAGACGTAATCCACGTAATGATCCAAGTAGAAAATTTAATGATGATAAGAAAAATAATAATAATAATTTATCAATGAATAATAATGAAGATTATTGGGAAACATCTAGTCAAAATAGCATTATAGCACTGTTAAGTGATGTAATTGATTGTTCAGTTAATCAAATTTATTAATTTTTTATGATGATAGTTTCATTATTGTACATAATACTATTTCGAACTGAATAGAACGAGAAGAAAAAGAAACAGATATGTAATTAAAAACTTACTGAATATTTATATATTTTGTTTATATTTACATATATCAAATGATATGGGAAATAATAATAGACATTTATATGATTCTACTTATTACAATCAATTTGTTACTTTTAGTAATCAGCTTATTAGTTAAAAGAAAATCTAATTGCCATATGCTCACTAGTGACTAACTTCGTGATGGAATTCTCGGAGTTCTAGTAAGAAGCCATGACCAGTGGAACTAATCCGTATCGGGTAGAGACAGGTACCTACCTCAGTACAATGGAAGATGGTCGCGCAATTTTGTGGATCGGTTGAGGTTAGACATTAACACCGTTGGATGTCGGCTCAGCGGTCTGAAGGTTGAGGGTTCGCGCGCGAGACTGAAGGCCTTGGGTCTGAATCCTGTGAACGGGATTGCGTCTGTTCTCTGCTGAGGAGTCCCACAATAGGACGAAACGTTCGTCCAGGTTTTCAGTGATGGTCTAATATCAATCGGTTCATAATCTCAATCAATAATTGTCAAAAGATGGGCTATACAAATTCAATGTAAAACTAAACAGATCTTTGTGTTTAAATATGTACTCGAAATTTTTATTTATTTATTTGAACACATAAACATTGGTACAAGGGTGCACCGATTGCATATGTGCCGCATAATAACATTGAGGTTGTGAAGAAACAGAGAATGGGGGGTGAGTAACTATGATTATAAATTAGGGTGTTAGAGTGAAATAATAAAAATAATAGTATTAATAATGGGAGAAGCAGTTTAGTTTGGAAAAATATATCCACTTTTATGAGGAAAGTGAAAGTAAAACAGAATCGCTACTGCCTTTTATTCTGAACTATATCCAATAACGTTGTATTCAAGCCACTAAAGTAATTATTTCAAGTAATTGCTTTTTCTCACATTGTCTTACTGTTCGTAAAACAATTAAACGATCTCATTGGTAAATTAAGTTGTGGTTTCAATATAAAGTCATTTTACTCTTCAAAGCCACTAATAATTGATCTAACTCAACTAAAAATTTAATTAAGATTATAAAAAATACAATGACATTCAGTTAACATTTCTGTTACGCAACTCAAACTGAAGCTATGACATTTAGTCATGGGGTCTTTATAAGTTATGGGGTGATCTTATGAAAATTTCAAGAAAATAGCATATAATGAATAAGGATTATAATTGTTTGGAAAAACAAAATTTGATATGATAGTTGAAACTGCATATGATCAACCTTATTATGCGGTTTTTAAACAATAAAAACTTCTGAATAAACCACTTTGAATACAGTTACATTATGATATTATCAGAAATAAATAGAAAGGAACCTACATAACATTAAAGTAGGATTGTTTATTATTTATTTATTTTAACACATAGGTATTGGTACAAGGAGACACCAAATACATATGCGCCACACGAATCTCAATTGATTTGTGTGAGGGCTATGATACTGCCCGGGTGCCCAAACCGAAGCAGGTGGTTTTCTTAGGGGGCCACACCCCGAGCCTTTAACCTGAAGATCTGATCCACAAGGCAGTGGAGCATCGTGAGGAGATGCAGTCCCATGGTAGCCGGTGACCAACGATTGGTTCATACGCCATTTGTTCCCGCAGGATACTGGAGCCCATGTGCACCATTGATTTGGGGTCCGGTTAAAGCGCCGAACATTCGCTTTTCGTCCTCTCATTTTCGTAAACAACACCCCCGCCACGAGAAAGCAGTGAGTAGGACTTCCCTGACAGAGGCTATATACGCATGGCCATGTGAGAGCATTTCGAGAGGGAGAGCGGACTCTCCCCACTCTCGTCCGTACCAGGGCATTTGGGGGCAAATGTAGGATTGATGTGTGGCTAGTGAAGTGAAACGTGATTAGCTACTAAGAATGGACAAACAAACACTGGTAGGTCCTGGGTTCAAATCTCGCAAGGGGCGGGATCGTGGATGCCCACTGCTGAGGAGTCCCATACTAGGACGAAACGGCCGTCCAGTGCTTCCAGGTTTTCCATGATGGTCTAGCTTCCATTGACTCATGATTTCAACTATTGAAATTACTAAAATCTCCACAAAACCTTTTCTGATACTTATCTTACTGATTATTATATATGTGACTTCTCTGTTATTTGTCCATAATTTGTACTAAGTGAGAGAGATCGCTTGTAATTGTATGATATAAAGTATTGTCCAGCGTTTATTCTGGTTTTCTACTTTTTATCATGAATCGGCGATCTGATATAATATGATCCAGTTCGTGTATCTTTCGAATAACCAACCTTACGGTAGTATAAGCCTAGTAACCAGTCTTATCATATTATAGCAATATATTGTGAGAACAACAAAGTATAATAACTCTTTAGTAATATCAGGAACAATAACAGATTGTAACAAATTAGCTGTCTTTAAAGAAGATAGATTATGTATAGAATATCGTCCGATCTAAATGACGACAAAATAAAGGGCCCCACAGTTTGTGTATATAAAAGAAAATCAGTCATCAAGCGTTCTAATTAAGCAATATTTCAGCGGATCAGAGAAATTAGAGTATAGCTTAAAACAATTTTCTTTGATTATACGAATTTTCTTTTACAGGCGTCTTCCCTTGAACTATGAGATTAAAATCGCTTTATATCTTTCTTTCTACGAAATAATTCTTTCTTCCTGTACTACATCCTTATACACAACCTTTCTTTTATATATTACCACCACTGAATTAACTACTTCTATGGATCCGGTGTTCATCTTGTTGTATTAATGAGGTATAGCAACTTGGACCGATGCACATATATGCCTGGTCCTACATTGTAGCTGATTGACTGACTAACTAACTACAGCCGTGGATATACAAATAAGAAGCATAGATTGAATGATTATAAGCTATAATTATAACCCATCTAACACGTTAGTGTTCAAAGGTTTCACTAATTCAAATGTGTAAAAATTTGAAAATTGCTTCCATATTATCGATCATTTTAGCCACTATTTATTGGTTAATAATATTCAATCGATATGTTTAATTGGCCAATCAAATATCATCTAACTTCTATGTTAATATTTATTGAAATATCACTATCTGTTCTATGTCAAAACTTACATAGTTACAAAAAAACCAAACAAACAAGTAAGTTCATTTTATTTTGTTCCCGGTTTAAATGGGTATTTTTTGTAAAAAAAATTAATTATTGAGTAGTAATAATAATTTACATGAAAGTACATGAAGATAATTTACCCAATAATAGTTCTACGTAATTATAATATATAACTTATTGAGATAATAATTCAGACGCAAATAATTTTCTATTCTTGAATCAAATAAATGATAATGATTGATATATGTAAATAAAAAATCGAATTTGAATTTTTATATATAATATATGTTATTGTACTATAATGGTTCAAACTATTTGTTATTACATCATCTAATTCTGAGATCTCGAAATTATATGAGCGTAATACGCTTCTCGTTGTTCAAAAATGGGAGAATTTTGCTAAAAGGCAGTCTTTCACTTGAAAACAACTGTATTTTCTCCATGAGTATCTTCGCCAGCACGTTCTAACAACATGTGTAAGATATAGATCTCCAATCAACTGCCCATCAGCATGGAGACTAGCTGAGTAAAGTGGAAGAAAAATGGTACACCTAATGATAATGAATGCAAAATACAGGATCCGCAAATATCAAAATGTCATAGAGGACTAAAAGATGAAGCTACAAAGGAAATCTTGACAACATCCATTGAGATATCATGCAAAACCATCTAACTCTGTCCTCTTCTTTCACATCCAATTATTTTCAGTTACTATACATATTTTAGATGTTTATTTTTAATTCTCAACGTAATATGTTATTTAGTCTTCCTATTTTTCGTTTCTTTTAAGGATTTTAAATTAACGCTTATCCTGTAATATAGTTTGATGATTTCTTCAATGTATGACCTCTTTATTTCCAGCATCTTTATAATTTTCCATAAATATCGACATTTCATCATATTTTTGTGTGGGCTGTGATACTGCCCGGGTGTCCAAGCCGAAGCAGGTGGTTTTCTTAGGGGGCCACACTCCGAGCCTTTGACCTAAAGGTCTGACCCACAAGATAATGGAGCAAAACAGTGGCGATCCTCTTGTAATCTTCTTTAACTTTCTTCATAAAAAGTGGTTGCTTCTTCCTTAACTGAAAGGTTTCTTCTGATTGTACATTTTCGTTTCTCCCATTATTATTATTACTATTATTAGTATTATTATTATTACACTACCTTACACTAATCTGTTCGCTATTGTTTTTTTCTTTCTTCTCTTCAAATTCTCATTGTTTTGTGTGGCGCATATATATTTGGTGCGCTCTTGTACCAATATTTATATGTTCAAATAAATAATAAATAAATCTTTTCTCAACATGATATAACATCAATTCAAAAATTTTTAGTCTGTTGAACTGAATTATATTGGTAGGTGAAAATTACTTGGTTGAATTTGATGAGATTATCTTAACTAATGGTTTGAGATATTATTTAATAAGGCTTAGAATTGATCACGGAAGATCTAATAAATTTACTCAATTTCTTCTACTACTTTACATTCAGTAAACTTATTCTTTTTCAACTATATTATTTATGTCTAAAATTTTTTACTATCATTTTACTAATATTGTAACTACTTTTATTACTATAATATTTGTCTTAATAATTTCATCTTGTTGTGCTAATATGATATAATCACATTAACCAATGTATTTCTATATCAGGTTTTCTGTTGTTTCCATTGATATTGATACAAAATTACTTTTTTTTTAAAAATGTAGTTTCTATGTTATTTTTTTTAGTTTTATAATATAAAATATTAAATTTAGTATCCAATGCTAAATACACATTGAAATTCCTTACAATTAATACAAACATTCACATTCATTCAATTTGATTCATTTTCATTTCTAATTAATTAATTAATTAATTAAGTTTTATTTAATAAATTGTTTATTATAATTATTGATTTAATTTTAATTTTATTTTCTTTTAAAGTATTATGAATAATAATTGGAAGAGACCAGATTTACCAAGTAAATGTACATTCTCTTTAAAACAATCAACAATCATTGAAAGTCCTCATCATCATCATCACCATCCTGCTGCTCCTTATCATCATCATCATCATCATCATCATCTTCTTCGTCACCATTCTCTTCCTAATTCAATGTATGTTTATCTAAAAATCAATTGATATTCTAAAGACAATTTAATTTAGTTTAATAAAAAATAAAATTATAAATAATTCATTAGAATTAATTGGTAATACACCTTTAATTCAATTGAATCAAATTGTAAAAAATGAAGGTATAGAATGTGAACTTTGTAAGTGATATAATATTAGATAGTTTGAGAAAAAAAAACATCTTTCTATTATTTTAGTAGGAAAATGTGAATTTCTTAATATTGGTGGTAGTGTTAAAGATAGAATTGGTAGACGTATGATTGAAGAAGCTGAATTAGAAGGTAAATTAAAACCTGGTGATACAATTATTGAACCAACTTCTGGAAATACTGGTATGTCTTTTTTATTTTTTTTTTTTAAAAATTTGTTCATCCTAATACAGAAATGCATATGTGAAATCATATACTTAGATCTCCAACTCAGTGGTCTAATAGGTGAAATGTTCGCATGAGAGACTAAAAACCCTAGGTTCGAATCCCTCGAGGGGGATCGTGGATGCGCACTGTTGACGAGTTCAAAAATAGGACGAAATGGCCATCCAGTGCTTCCAGGTTTCTAAAGGTGGTCTAACATCAATGGGATTATCTCAATCAGAAACTTAGAATCTTATTAAACAATGTCTGTAATTATTACTATTATTTTTAAATAAGCACAAAACGAAAGTTTTAAAGGTTCATACTAATAAGAGCTCGAAGAAAACTGTAACCATTAAAACGCTCATGTTAGCAGAGATGATTATTGAACAAGAGAGTAAAATTTTTAAACCTGAAATCTACTTGGTTTACTATCGATTCCTTTGCTTCTACGATCAATCGAAAAATGCAGTTCTTTAAACGTTGAATAAAAAGTTCACTTTCAATAAATACTGTAATTAAATAATATATTTTGTAATATCCCAATGAGTAGAAAAATTAGATTTTCTGACGTTTCGTAATTTAATGTAAGCCGCTTCTTCAGAGAATAAATAACTATTAAAGGTTTTCTATGTAAATTGAAATTTAATCCTTTCTCTAGTAGACTGATTTCATGATTGATTAAGTTTCTGTCTGAGAGATAATGAACAATTCTTATTAGATTTTATTGCTAACGTTTTCTTCTCTTTCTTTCTTTGATCTTTTCAAATGTTTTGATTTGACGGCGTTTTGATGAATTTAAATATTGGCGTTTTCTTTCTATAGACAAGTTAGAAATTGTGGTTTGTAGTTCTGTAGGAATTAAAAGCCTCAGTAGATCATTTAGGTTTTTGATTCGTTCACGATATTTTTCATGTAAATATGTGCACTTGTGGATGCGTTCTCATAAAAATATTTCAGATGAGCTTTGAGAAATCTAAATAGATCTCCAGGACAGTTCTGGAGGTTTTACAAAAAGAGATTTCGGAATAATGTTGTCTTGTAAACATCGTTTATTAAATATTCTGTGATTGCACCAATTCCATTGACACTTGGATAATTTGATCCGGTTATTAATGAGTTTTTTGCTTATTCTCTGAAGAAGTGGTTTACACTAAGTCACGAAACGTCAGAGAATCTAATTTTCCTTTTTATTGGGATATTACAAACATATTAATTTATTTATAACAATCTACACAATGCTCAATTTATTCTAAATTATCAAATCAAACCTTGGTAATGATACCTAAAAAATACTGTAATTGTTCGGATCAAGTGACAATTGATTATTACACAATTAAGGGCCCAATGATAAAGCTTGCATAAAGATTTATGAGAGGGAGATAGAAGAGTGAACAAATATTTACTTTTTTGGATTTCAAGGATACTCCTTATTTTGTTTCTACCGGTTTCAAAGTTTCCAAGTATTGAAGTTTAGCTTTGTACGATTATTTTTCGGTGACATGAAAAAAAATAATTCCGAAATTGTTTGCGTTCACCTAACAAAAGGGCGACATTAGTAGAACACTCGGAGACCAAGCGAAAATACAGTTCAGATGGCAGAACACATCGAGAGATGTAACTAGACGATTAAAGGCTGTGTATATGTATTATGCAAATATTTTGCAACTTTTTACAACAAATGTACAATCCTTCTGCTTATTGTCTTGTTTTACAGTGGTATCTGCTTGAATAATTAAGCATCATTAAAAATACAATCAACTATCATTCCATAGAAAATATTCATAATCATATCTACTCTCCACAATTATTATCAACATCAAATATTAGAGTAGTTGTAGTGAATATACACATTTGATTACATATTATTATTTTTAAATAGGTATTGGATTGGCGCTTACTGCTTCTCTTAAAGGTTACCGATGTATAATTGTAATGTCAGAGAAAATGAGTAGTGAAAAGGTAAACTATCTTAGTCTTCTTCTGATGATTTTACACTTTTATTTAATTGTTTTGTTGTCATAATCAAAAATTACTGACTTTTTGAAGTAAAATTACATTTTGAGTATAAATCTACTTGTTTTCATATGTAACTCAGTTATATACCCATTTATATACATAAGTTCATTGGGTGATGAATAAGTGTTAATACGTATTAGGAGAAATTTTTCCCAAAATTTCCATACTAAGCTGTTTAATGAAAAATATTAAAATAATTTGAAAAGTCATACGACTTGTAGGATTAATACAGTCTAGTCTGAATGAACTGATGTTATTTGTGTGATCATATTATTACATGATTGGACTGAAGTTAATTTTGTGAAACACTGAATTCTGTCTCAGTAGTTTAAATATTTCATGATCAAAAAGTTGCTCAAAAGTTATTTTTGTATATAATATGAGTACGTATTATTATAGAATCCCGAAAAACTTTGAGCACTAGTCTAACTGACTGGACATCTAGTGCATTATGTTTCAATGTTAGGTATTTGAAAGTGATTGTTAGTATACCTTGTAACTAGGTTTCTTACTTATTGATGTTTTCTGTGTAAACACAGAGTATGTAGTGTTTAGCCACTTAGACAAGATGCCAAATTTCTACTTGACTGATAGGATTTGATTACTTCTAGGGTATAGACCAAACATAAGATTGGTCACCACTTAATGAACAATCAGTGAGGCATCTATGAAGTCAATATTTCCCTATTTCAGGATAGTTAGTGAAGTTATATTACTTTCAGATTTCTATATATTCAATCTTCTTTAGATCTGATGAAGCAGAATTATTTTACGTTTAAAAATGTCTATTATTCTCATAAGTTGTTCGGTAATTATGCAACACATTAACTGAAAGTGATTGTATGCTCATTTAGCAAACTATTTCATTCTTTATTATGATCAAATTAATCAGTATTGAAATATACCGTTTTTACTGTTCTATTCTTATTAAGGAATCATACTTAAGATGCCTTGGAGCTGAAATTGTTCGTACACCGGCTTCTGCAAATTTTGACCATCCTGATTCATTGTTTCGAGTGTCAGAAAAAATAAAAAATGAAATTGGTCCATCTGCACATATCATGAATCAATATACAAATCCATATAATCCAATAGCTCATTTTGATGAAACAGCTGAAGAAATTCTTCGTGACTGTACAGAAGAAAATGGACAAATTAAATTGGATATGCTAGTAGTTGGTGTCGGAACTGGTGGTACAATAACTGGACTATCACGAAAAATAAAAATGAAAGTACCTAATTGTTTAGTAAGTTTATTTTGAACATCAATGTGTTCTTAATCTCACACATAAAATTCACTTCGTTTTACCGATTTAGAGATTTTACAAATCAATGAAACTATAAAATGATGATACTGTCGATATGATATGAGTTTTAGCCATTAAGAAGGCATTCACTCCTTCTCGATTCAATATGCTCCTTCATAAAGGGCACTAAGTAGGACGGAATCTAGATCTATAACTTGGTGCAGACTGCCTACAAGTAATTAATTTAAAAATAAGACGAAGAATGATATCAAGATCTTTAAAATTGTAGCTATAGTACAACTCGATCAGTTAATAGAGCTAGGTGGTATGACAGTGGTTACTGCCAAGTGATCGACCACTGTTAATTCTACGGTCCTACAGAAGGTCATTTGTAATCAGAGTAGCTCTGTGTTAATGCCTTGAATTGTGGAACTGAATGGCGCCAGTTCAAATTCCATATACCGAATCACGACTGAAATGCATGTCCTACTGCTCAGGACCAATAAAAACAAAAGACCGTTCCTGACTTTACTACTGACTATCTTCAACCTTCAAACGTCTTGATAATTAGTTGAATTTCTGATAGAATAGTTTATCATGAGAATTTATTAATTACAGTGGATCGTTAGATCATAGTGATTAGTGAGTAGTAATTATAATTGAGATTCAAAGTTATTGGATGAGTGAAGCATATAGTACAATAGTTTATCATGAGAATTTATTAATTACAGTGGATCGTTAGATCATAGTGATTAGTGAGTAGTAATTATAATTGAGATTCAAAGTTATTGGATGAGTGAAGCATATAGTACAATAGTAATCAGAGTTTGATTATTAGATAGCATTAAAAAAATAATTTACCACTATCACAGCAATTCTCTTTTCATATTAGACAGTAGTTGATCAAATGTCTTACAATAGATGTAGTCATATATTGCAGATGTATACTTAAAAATACACCAACAACCTTTCAATGGTTAAGTTCAAACAACATTTACTAGAAAATACCTCTGAGTGATTACTTTATTCGCATATGAATTAAAATCTTCTATCTTCAGCAAGAACACTCACTTATACAAATTACCACATTGTAAGTTTCTGACGTATATAGAATTTTCAGTTGGGTTGGTAGGGCTAAGAATAGTGTCAATACAATGCTTGTTATATATATATATATATATATATATATATATATATATATATATATATATATATAGTAAGAAGTTGAAAGTTTCTCAGTTGATCAGTTGATAGAGATCAATTCAGCCTGAAGATTATAAACCACGATTAATTAGGAAACCGTTTAGAGTTGTTAGCACAAGACATGGATTTCATTTTCTACAACAGTGTCCATCCATAACTATGCTAAGAATTAAATAAAAAATCTTCAGATTCAATTTCATGTTGACTAGTAATTCCATACCAGTGATTTGGGTTTCTTTAACATTTCAAGTTATTCAATGGGTTCAATTGTTTTTATTGAACTTTTGAGCTTTCATATGATGCTTTTTTTTAAAAACGCGTAACTTTATCCCATATTATAGATTGTTGGAGTGGATCCAATTGGTTCAATTCTAGCCAATCCAGAGTGTCAAGAAACAACTCCATATGATGTTGAAGGTATTGGATATGATTTTTTCCCTACTGTCTTGGATACAAATGGAATTGATAAATGGTGTAAAACAGGTGATCATGAATCTTTTGAAATGGCTAGGCGACTCATACATGAAGAAGGTTTACCATGTGGTATGTTAGACGTTTGTATTTGATCATTTATGAATTTATTATGTTTTGTCGGTTTTGATGTGTTTCAAACACTTTTCTATTCTTCTTTCTTCGCGATAACTTTAACTAATACATTTCAATTTACATCAACAACTGATAATTAAAGCAAACCAGAACTCAACATATGTATCAAGACAACAATCATAATAAATGTAATAAAATGAAATTGAAAGTGTTCATGCAAGACATTCTAGATTGCACGAGGTTAACTGATAGAATAATGTCACTATCTATTGAAGTTATCCGTGAGTCCTAATTAGTTAAAAAATGAACAAATCAGCTTGCCTGAATCATTTCCTTATTAAATATATGAAGCTGATTTGTTAGAAGTTGGTTTCTAAACCAACTCTAAATCTAAAATTTGGGTAAAATATAAAGCTTTTTCATTAATAAGACAGTCTGAAAATAAATAGAAGAGTCTTTCATCTTGGAAGTATCCAAAAGTTATGTGTCTTGATTAGGTCAATAGGCGTAAGAGATGATAATCTGGGAGTCACTGGAAAGAATCACACTGTAACAGATCGTTTTTATATTCAGTTACCACTTATTCACTTAATAACATTTTACAATGAGACGTTTTTGTTTCGAAAATCTGATTAACAACTATACGTAGTTATCTTTTTTTGTATTTAATGTCCTTCTTGAATAATTCTAAGGGTTAGTTACAACAGAAATATGTTTCGTATACCACTACTCAGGGTTTTAATATTGACAGAGTTCATTTATTCAAGTTGATAGATCGTATACAGTACTTTTAGATTCGATGAAATCAAAGATTTGTTCTTATTGTTGTCTTACTAACACTCACGTTAGTAAACAAAATATCAGTGAAATTTCAGGCTTATTATTTCAGTATCCTTATTTAAAATATTTAAATTTTGATGAAATTATGTTCTATGAGCTGTGTCGTTTATCAATGAAGTTTACATTATCCTTCTAGACAATATAATCAGTATAAACTTCAGACAAAAATGAACTATAAAAATTTCTTTACTACTGACAAATAGCTGTGTTTTGTTAATATTAAATTGAATAATAATGTATTTGAATTTAAAGTTTAATGATGAAACTCTTTTTCAAATTAATAATTAGATTGTAAGATAGTAACTCACTGAAGACAATGGTGGACGGTAATACAATTCGTGAATTGTTTGAAGTTAGATACTAACACCATTAGTGATTACCGGTTCAGTGATCTAGAGGTTAAGCGTTCATGCATCAGGCCGATAGGTCATGGGTTCAAATCTCGCTGGGCGAGATCGCGGATGCACATTACAATGAAATGGCCATCCAGCGCTTCCAGGTTTTCCAAGGTGGTCTAGTTTCAATTGACTCATAAATTCAACTATTAAATCACTATAAGATTTACAAAACTTCTCTCTGATTAAAATAGACATAAATATTTATGACATTATAAATATCTACATTCATATATATCAAGTTTGGAAATGTATATCTCATGGTTATTTAATATAAACACTTTGATTTATTCTAATTTATAAAAATAACATTTAAGTTCACATTGTGTGATAAATAACAAATCGGATATATATGTTTTATAGCTAATTATTGTTCTAAGACCGGAAAGGGTAATGTGTTTATGTAGTTAAATAAATAAGTCGGAAGTCGTGTTGATTAGTTGTGATAAACTATTCAAATAAATTAGACAAATAACAACAAGCCATAACGGTTGATTAGTATAAATGATGATTATACTAATTTGACGAGTAGTAGTCGAAAACTATTATTATTATTATTATTATTATTATTATTATTATTATTATTATTAAAAGTTGTTGACAAAGACTATGAAAACTAAATACTTTAGGATAGTTGATTTTTACATGCATAAGATTGCTTTCTGAGTACTATCTCTAGTAGATTTACATTTCGAAGATATTTAACCCATTGAACATCTTGTCAATAACAGTTGTATGAAAAAAAGGAAGCTAAGATTTAACCAATTAAGCGTTTTCAGCTTTTAATTCTGGGAGATCCACAAATTTTTTCACTTCCACAGTTGTATTTCAAATATCATACATGAATAGTTCAACCACCAATCACAACTATCTACATTATAATTGGATGTTCAGAATATTTCTTTGATGTCTAAATAATGTTAATATAATGACTAAATACAATTCCGATTTACATTTTCAATCTGATCCAATTCTGTCACGGAAAACTTTTTTTAGCCAAACTATTTAGTTAATTAATGCATTAGGCTCTTACAAGCAAGTTAAATAAACCTGAGCGAAGATAGCCAGTGTAGCAGTAGCATCTGCAGCATTGGTCTTCAGCATACACAAGGAAAAAAGCAAAATTCTGAAATACAACAGAATGAGCACCAACCCAATTACGCTGAATGGAGAAACTCTGGAAGACGTGCAAACTTTCACTTACGTGGTCAGCATCATCGATGAACAAGGAGGATCCTATGCAGATGTAAGGGCAAGGATTGGCAGAGCGAGAATAGCATTCCTACATTTGAAGAACATATGGGACTAAAAACAACTGTTTCCAAGCCAATATCAAAATCAGAATCTTTAATACGTACGTCAAGACAGTTATTTATTCTGTACGGAGCTGAAAATTGGACAACTACCGCAACCATCATCAGAAAAGTACAACTATTTCTAAACAGATGTCTATGTAAAATACTGAATATCTGTTGTCCGGATACTATCAGTAACTGCCTACTATGTGAAGGAACAAACCAACCTTCAGCAGAATGTGAAATTAGGCGGTTGAGAGGTTGATACCACATACATTACGGAAATCATCAAACGGCATCACAAGGCAATACATAACTTGGATTCCTGAAGGTAAAAGGAAAATCGGAAGACCACAGAATATATTGTGTAGAGCATTGAAGGCAGACCTTAAAAGAACAAATAGCAATTGACAAAGACTGGAAAGGAGAGCGGAGGATAGAGCTAGCTGGAGAATCTTTGTTGGAGGTCTATGCACATTCACAAGTTATAACACGCGTAAGTAAATAAGTGAGTGAAAGCTTATTGAACATTGAATCTAAAGAAAATGAATAGAATGAAGGTCAGAAGATGTAAAAACTGGGTAAATATTTCAACTAACTTTAATAAGTTGGCTGGCTATTTGGTTTGTACAGCAGATATTATACAGAAAACTTTCCTTGGTTGTTTTACAAATTTTATCAAATTGTTTGATAACCATAGTTAATAACTCAGTTAGATTTTCATATTCACTACTTCCACATTTTTTTCTTGTTTACATTTGAATTTTCACTTTTCATTGTTGGATGGTTCAGATAGTTCTTAAGTGTGCCGATCCGTATTTGCTCCACTAATATATACCAACTTAACTTACTTCTAGAAAGGAAGCAATAATACGTTGTAGATTCATTACATTCTAAAAATATTGAACTGTTTAAACTAGAATGAATCAAAATTCACTCTGTTGCACAACTCAGTGGCTATTTGAACTAATTAGTTAAGCAGATAACGCATTTAGTGTTTTGGGCGAAAAGTACTGAGGTTGAGTCCCAATGTAACTATCAACATCGGGGTACAGATACATCCAGCTGACGAGTCTCAAACAAGACAAAATCTAGTAACATACTAACTTGCTATTCATTATATATTTGTAAAATATCTGAAATCTTTGTTCGATACATTTTTTAGTATAATTTGGCCAAATGTAGTCGCCGCTTCCTATTAGTTGGCATTGTTTAGCCAGAAATACCTATAATATTCAGATAACTGACTCTTTCTCTGTGTAGTTTAAACCTTCATCGCTCACCTTTACAGTTTGGGACGTTACCACTGATCTATCTAAATAAACAACTGGTTTAATTCAACGGTTTCCTACCAACTACTTCTAACTACCTAGCACCAAAATACATAGTTTAAGTTAATGTCTAGTTGTCTGTTAACCATATTGCAACTTGATCAGTAGAATTCAACCAGTACTAGATACTAGATAAACATGATATCGGTAATTACTTAGTCATAAACCACGATGTACTTATTATTACGAAATGTTTTATCGAATTTCTTCCTGTCATAAATTCTTTTCATAAAGGTGGCAGTTCTGGTGCTGCTGTGGCTGGTGCTATCAGAACTATCAAAGAATTGGGTTTAGGAAAAAACAGTCGAATCGTGGTTATTCTACCCGATAATGTACGCAATTACATGTAAGATAAGCTTTAAAGCTCGTTTAATATACTCTGAAGATAGGACATTGTTATCCTTTGTAATTGTTGTTTTAGGGATATTAAAAATTAATGTGAACATTCATTTCATTTGTTCTCTTCTATTCATCTTCATGCTTTACTGAATGTTTATTTTCTCCTTATGATACATAAGCATAATATGGCTAGAAGGTTTGAATTTCATTTAAAACAGCTCTTGCTTTATATACTTTCTAGGTAAAAATTTGAGCAGGTTAAAATTTCATGTTGCATTCGGGCGTCAATAATATCTCTGGTTGGGATTGTAATGGAAGTCCACTAACATAAGATATATGTCCATGGTAATTTGTAGATCTTTTTCCATTGGACATCCTGTCTTCTGGTGGATCCTGAAACTGTCAACGTATTTTCTTTGTCTGTTTGAACTCAGAAATACGATTATTTTAGAAGAAAAGAAACGGTTCATAGATGTTATTGTTTGAAAATTAGTAACATTATATACTACCTTGATGTAATAAGGATGTAATGCTTGAAATACATAATCTGTCCTTTATTATTACTAGTTTTATGAGCGGACGTGTAAATTAAGCAGAGAATGAAGCTTCATGTTTATATGGAAAATATATGTCCATAGGAGGATAGGAAAGATTGTATCATAAATCGATTGGAGACTAAATATCAAATGAGGTAACGTACTAATCAAGGGGTACAGAAGAAAATAATTTATGGGTCAGATATGAAGAAAAATGACAAACATATAGGTCATAATAATAAACTGAATAATAATCAAGCAAACTGATATAAAGTATAATAATTAAAAAAGCCCGAATAATAATCAAATAAAAGTGAAGAAGAAAGAAAAAAAAACCCGAAACCTACCAATAAAGGGGATTAGGGCCAAGAAAGGATGAGAGGTTTGACGAATCGTTTCTGCACGCAAAGTTCAGGTTTGAGTTCGTGGATTTCCAATGCCTCAGCAGTGCATAAAATATTGATTCGACATTCCTTCGATCCAATTCCTTTGACTCTGTAGATTACTTTAAAAGAAGAATCTTTTGAAGCGATGTGTCCATAGTTGATTAGATGCTCCTGTATAGAACTAGTAATTGTTTTACATTCTCCTTTTAAAAGCTAAGCCGGATAATGTTCTGAGTTGCGCTTGGAAAGTGATCGCTTTGTGCGGCCGCTGTAACGTGCCCAAGATGAGCAAGTAAATTTATGGATACACATTGACGTGACCCAAAGTGGAAATTTATCCTCAGCACATCCATAAATGGCCGGCTTGGGAAAACGATTCGGAGCTAAGCTGCGTAGGACGTTTTATTCAACGATTTTAAAATCTGTTTAAGATTTCCGCAACCATATCTCCTTTAAATTCCATATTCATAAACAAGGTTTTCTTTTGTACTGTCGATGCTTTTTCATGATGAAGTCTAGGTGTTAGGTTGCTAGGTGAATAACCATTTCTAATGAGAGTCTGTCGAAATTGAAATACTCACTTACTTACTTACGCCTGTTTCTCCCAATGGAGCATAGGCCGCCGAACAGCATTCTCCAATTCACTCTGTCTTCTTTTCTAGTTCCATCCAATTCTTGTCCATTTTTCTCATGTCTGTCTCCATTTCTCGACGTAGTGTTCTTTGGTCTTCCTTTCCACCTCCTTTGGCCTTGAGGATTCCATGTGAGGACTTGTCTTGCGACGCAGTTCGGTGTTTTCCTCAATGTGTGTCCTATCCACTTACAGCGCTTCTTCCTGATTTCTTCCTCCACTGGGATCTGATTTGTTCTCTCCCACAGTAGATTGTTACTAATAGTGTCTGGCCAACGGATCCGAAGTATTTTGTTTAGACAACTGTTAGTATACACTTGTGTCTTCTGGATGATGGCTTTTGTAGTTCTTCAGGTTTCGGCCCCATACAGTAGAACTGTCTTGATATTTGTATTGAAAATTCTGACTTTGGTGTTGGTTGCCAATTGTTTTGAGTTCCAGATGTTCTTTAGTTGTAAATATGCTGCTCTTGCTTTGCCAATCCGTGTCTTCACATCTGCATCAGATCCACCGTGTTCACCGATGATGCTGCCCAAATATGTAAAGGTTTGTACATCTTCCAAATCTTCTCCGTCAATTGTGATTGAATTGTTGCATGCTGTGTTGTATCGGAGAATCTTGCTTTTCCCTTTGTGTATATTGAGACCTACTGCTGCTACACTGGCCGTTTTCTCCTGCTTTTGTTGTCGCGTTTGAGATATAAGAGCCAGATCATCTGCGAAGTCTCAATCATCCAACTGCATCCTAGCTGTCCACTGTATCCCATGCTTCCCTTCAGATGTTGACGTCTTCATGATCCAGTCGATCACCAGGAGAAAAAGAAAGGGTGAGAGTAAGCAACCTTGCCTGACACCGGTCTTTACTTCGAACGACTTTGTCAACTGTCCTCCATGCACGATTTTACAGTTCAATCCATCATAGGAATTCCGTATAATATTGACTATCTTCTGAGGCACGCCGTAGTGTCGAAGAAGCTTCCATAGTGTTGTTCTGTCCACGCTATCAAATGCTTTTTCGTAGTCAATGAAGTTGATATAGAGTGATGAATTCCATTCAATTGATTGTTCCACAATGATCCGTAGAGTTGCGATTTGCTCTGTGCACGATCTATCCTTACGGAATCCTGCCTGTTGGTCTCGAAGTTGGGCGTCTACGGAGTCCTTCTTTCTGTTTAACAACATCCTGTTGAAGACTTTTCCTGGTATTGAGAGAAGAGTGGTTCCCCTGTAGTTGTCACAGTTGCTGAGATCGCCTTTCTTTGGTATTTCGACCAGAAGTCCTTCTTCCCAGTCTTTTGATATCTGTTCACCATCCCAAATCTTTCTGAAGAGAATGTGGAGTGTCCTTGCAGTTACCGCTATGTCTGCTTTCAGTGCCTCCGCTGTAATGTTGTCTGGTCCTGCTGCTTTGCCACTCTTGATTTGTCTGATGGCCATGCTGATTTCTTTAATTGTTGGTGGGCCAACATCGATTGGAAGGTCCGTGAGTGCTGCTTCGATGTTGGGTGGGTTTAGTGGGGCTGGTCGATTCAAGAGTTCTTTGAAGTGTTCTACCCACCTGTTTCGTTGTTCTTCAATGTTGGTAATTATCTTGCCTTCCTTGCTTTTCACTGGTCGTTCTGGTTTACGGTGATTTCCAGAGAGTTTCTTTGTTGTGTCATACAGTTCTCTCATGTTTCCTCCTCTTGTAGCCTTTTCCGCCGTCATTGCCAAATCTTCCACATATTTACGTTTGTCAGTTCTGATGCTCCTCTTCACTTGCTGGTTTACTTCTGTTTATTCAGCTTGTGCCTTGGCTTTTTCTGCTCTTGTTCGGCTGGTATTGATTGCTGTCTTCTTATTTATCCTTTCTTGAATCTTATCCAGTGTATCGATCGTGATCCAATCCTTGTGATGGTGCTTCTTGTGGCCCAGAACCTCATGACATGTTGAAGTGATTGCCACTTTTATCCCTTTCCAATTGCTCTCCATAAAAGTTCCTTCTCCATTGAGTAGATCATGAAACGCCTGGAACTTATTGCTGAGGGCTATCTTGAATTTGTTGAGTTTGTCAATATGTCGAAGGAGAGCCGTATTAAACTTTTGTGATATTGTCCGCCCCGTTGTCCAGTGCCTCTTGAGTTTCAATTTCATCTTGGCAACCAGCAGATGATGATCTGATGCTATATCAGCTCCTCTCTTTGTTCTCACGTCCTCCATCGTTCTCCTGAACTTTTTGTTGATGCAGATATGATCGATTTGGTTTTGCGTAGTGTGATCCGGTGAAGTCCATGTGGTTTTGTGTATGCGTTTATGTGAGAATATAGTGCCACCTATGACCAGTTTATTGAAGGCACAGAGGTTTGCAAATCTCTCATTATTTTAGTTCCTTTCTCCCAGTCCATGTCGTCCCATGATCTCTTCATATCCGGTATTGTCCATTCCAACCTTGGCATTTAAATCTCCCATCAGAATGGTCAGGTCCTTTGTTGGGCACTTCTCAATGATTGACTGCAGCCTATCGTAGAATTGATCTTTAGCGTCTTCATTGTAGTCATCGGTAGGCACATAGCATTGGACGACGTTCATTGTAATGCCCTTTTTCCTCGTTTTGAAGGAGGCTTTGATGATCCTTGGTCCATGAGATTCCCATCCTATAAGTGCATTTTGTGCTTGTTTGGACAGCATCAATGCAACTCCTTGTGTATGTGGGGCCTTTTCTTCATCGTGGCCGGATAATAACAGCAGCTCCCCTGAAGCTAGTCGTTGTTGTCCAACTTGTGTCCAATGTGATTCACTGATTGCAAGCACCCCTAGGTTGTATCTCCTCATTTCTGCAGCAATTTGGAAAACTCTCCCAATCTCCCACATTATACGAGCATTCCATGTACCTAAATAAATGGTTGCTCTGGTTGTCAGAAGGGGCACCGGCCTCGTGACTTCCGAAGAAGCTCGGCTTTCATCATGAGGTGTCATAATTCTTCTAAATGAAGACCTTCTGACTCCCAGGGCAATGTTTAAATGGTTTGAATAATTTTTTCTGGTTAGCGTTTTTTTAGCGAGTTAGTTTTCTACGGGATGGGATCGCTAACCCCATGCCCAACCCTTCTCCTTTATCCGGGCTTGGGACTGGCAATAGTCCCCGGAGGGTCTCCAGGGGGAAATTGAAATAGGTCCTCATCAGTTGTGTTAGTGGAACATATTCGCTTGATCGTTGAAGATAAAAAGTGATACAAGTTCCTCTTTCTACTCAATGAGATCCAGCTATGGAAATTCGTGTAATGCCCATTCCACTAAGTTCCTTATTTGTTTACTATTTCTGAAAAATCCTGTTTTTATTCTAATTTATTTTTTTTTGTGTAGGTCTAAATTCTTATCAAATGATTGGATGTTTAGTCGAGGATATATGGACTTTCCCCTTGGTGATACATTTCGAAATAAGTAAGCCTATAGTTATGAGGATAAGTGTAACCAAATGATAAATTATATACTGGGTGTATCATCAAAATTCTGTAAGAATCTAAAATACTTTAACATTTATAAAGAAATTAGATCTTGTAGTTTTATTTAAATACAGTCTGAAATTTCATTCTAGTACGGTAGTACAATTTAGTATTCTATATACACGGACTTAAAAAGAGAACATTGAATACATTTGGTTAATTTTAGAATAAACAATTTGCCGTAGTGTTCAAACATGTAAAACTTATGGTCTAAAATGTATTAGATTTTCAGTACTGAGCCTGTTGTGACTTTAAGGCCGGCTGGTTATCACGTGACTTATTCGCCAATCGAAATACGATTTATCCAATCTTAGTACTGTGCTAAACCAATGACTTTCGACCGGTATGAGTAGCTTAGTGTCCTTATTGGTCCTCTGTTCGCGTAGCCCTCCAGTTGAGTACAGAACACTAATAACAGCTCCCACTATGAGAATCATTTATTTCAAACATACTTGGTTTACCAGCCAAACAAACCACATCACACCACAAAATGGGAAGTAATATTTACACAAGATCAAGCCAAAAAGTGATTGTGAACGTGGGAAACTGTAATGAATAAACTGAACATAACTTAAAAACAGTAAATTGTATAATAATAATCTATAGGTCAAAATGAAGCTTAATGTAAGATGAATATAGATATACACAATCTAGTTACTGAATAGGAATATATATATATATATATATATATATATATATATATATATATATATATATATATCAGTCCATTAATAGTTATCGGAAGTTACTCATAATTTAATCTTCACTAGGATATAATAGAACCCCTTTTCTTATTCAGCTTATTGAGCTTGTATCCGATTTTCAATAAATAATGTTGGCAAAGTTCTCAAAATTAAAACACTACCTGTATGAAATCTATCAGTTTATTAGCGGAATATAGATTGGATTAAAGAACGTTCATGCACGATTGTGTTTGTGCACGCTGATTGGCTGTTTCTTATTCAATCAATGTTAGCGGATGCTTGGAGAAGACTCTAGAATCTTTTCATGGGAAAAATATAAATATACTAACATTATTCATATTGTGCTTCTAACTTCCATCTAAACTTTTTATTTGGAATGTAATTTCGTTCCTGTTCAACCGTGTTCTGATTTAGGGACTTGTTGTGTGAAATAATGTCCAAGAATACTAAGTAATAGGAATATCTGGGTCGTAATAAGAGAAATTATAACACTGTTTATATCATATTTCGTAATGAGTATACATAGTGTGAATGTATGCACAAGGATTTTTTTCTTTAAAATATTCTTGATTTGATCAATTTGACTGTTTACATTGTATCCTGTTATTATATATCTTTCTGTTAAGTTGGATTAATGCTACATTAGATGAATTAATTGCTGGTCTGCCAAAAACAGTTAGAATTACTAGTGAACATACAGTAAAAGATGCTTCGAATTTAATTAAAACGGAGAATGTAAGGGGATTGTTGGTGGTAGAAAATAATGGAACAAAGTAAGCATTTTACTTCTAGTTCTCTATTTCAAAACAATTATCTTTATAATGATTCTTTCATCTTATTCATTTCTTCATTTAAAACAAGTTCTAAGTATGAGAACAAATCTATTTTTAATACTTATTAGTTTGTACTGGTCAGTATATCATGTTTAATCAAATTGAATTGAATGTGAAAATTTTTTACACTTATCCAATACTATTGAGGATTTTCAGAAATAGGATTTCCTGTCACCTATACAATGATTGAGTACTGGATTATGAAGTCTAGATTGCTAACATTCAGAATATTAAGCGGGATGAGTGAAAGAATAAGAACAAAGGAGTACAATAGAGTAGCTACTGTATCTTTTATCAACAAATTAGTTATATTCATGACCACTTTTAACACAGTATTTAGCTTTCCTTCATGAGATGTAAAGGATTGATCATATGTGATTTTAAGAGCCATCCACTAATAGTGAATTTAGGGGTAAGGAACTATATGAAAAATAGAAATCCATCAATGTTTAGTGAACCTCTATCAACTAAGGTGGTTAAAACATATATTTCTCATGTCTAACGTCTGCCTACTATTAATAATCGGTGGTAGTTAATATTAGTACAGGCTGTGGAAAAGCTATGGCGGCCAGATCAAAGTATGGTGCGAGTCAGTGAAGTCATCAATCGCTTGTCTAAACCATATCTTTATGTTCTGTCCACCTGGTTACGGTTCGTGAAATAATTATCATTTATGTTTGGAAACGTCGAATAACGTAATGTATAATCAGTCCTAGTGTAGTGAACAAGAACACAAGTGGGGGCAGTCGAATGTATTTAAGCACAAAATTACAGAATCCCTAAGTAAAATCTGAGAACCATACAGTAAATACTTCATTTGCAATATATCAATCAATCGTCTCAGACTTCATTGTTCCTTCTTTTCCACACCAATCACTCTCTATTCATGTTATTTTCTCTTAGATTTTCTTAACCTCCTAATGGCAGGGATTTCACTTCCGATTGGTGATACATACTACTTATATCTGTCAGTATCAGTAACACACACCACATCATTATCATATTATTTAAAGATAAAATTATTAAGAAAATCAACTGAAATAATATTCTTTTATTGAATTTCGTGTCTTCAAAATTGTAAAATGCGTGGTAAAATACGCATTATATTTCGGTTACTGTCAACGACTAGATTATACTCTAGTGGTTATCACTTTGCTTTGTCAACATTTTAAAACCATCTTATGTTAATGAAATAAATTAACATGAATCTCATTTATTCTAAAACTGATCAAGAGAAGTTCCAGTTTCTGAGGCAAATTAAAGCTTTTTGACACTAACAATGCTTTAATTTTAAGAGTATTGAAAATATGAAGTTCTTGTGATAACTGTACTAACCTTCAATCCTTAAAATAAATTGATTTTAGTCTTAAAATTATTGAACTTGAAGTTATAATCACTTTTGTTTAGAAAATAAAAGTTCATAATCTATATGAAAGTTTAATTAGTTTACTTTTTCTAATAATGTGTTATCCGTTTATAAAAAAAACTGATTATATGACGGTAACTCATTTGATTTAGTAAATACCGTTTAAGTTTAGTTAACCGGGGTATTTTAAGTTTGGGGCTTTGGAAATTATTCAATATAACTGAAACCATGAACTGATCAAAGTTGGGCCACCATTGAAAACCTGGAAGGACTGTATGTCTTTTTTGTTCTAGTACGGGACTCTGTAGCCTTGAAACTACTGGAGTTAATCCCTGTCGGTTGTGAGGCATTTACACACCGAAGACAATGCAAGATGATCACGCAACATCGTTAGCTGGGATATTGTTTTCACACAGTTTGTCTTTCATACCACAAAAATAGTCTGTTCGCGTTTAACTTATTGTCAACCACGTTGTAAACACGTAGATTGTAATTTGAATGTCATGTACTCGAGAAATGATAGCTGATTTCCTGTTTTTTTCCACAGAATTTGCGTTCTTGGTGTATTTGATCCAAATATTCTAAGACTATTATTCAATGGATCTGTTAAACCAACTGATCTTGTTGTCAAAGCGATGAATAAAAATTATCGACAAGTAAGTTTCTAAAGTACATTTTATGTTATCAAGCTTTAAATCTATATTTACTTAATCAGTATCGCATGTGTTTCCGCACATGTTGAGTTTCTCTGACGAATTTACGTGAAATAATATTACATTTAGTGCATAAATCACAAAACGTCCCATAGAATAACTCATGTGAACGACTACTGACAGATAGAATTACGACTGAGGTTCTGAAAAACCAGTACATAGAATAAAAAATGACTTGAAACTTGAATACCGTACAGATACGATTTAAAAGTTGATAAAACGCTGCAGATGTTGTTGACTGACTTGTGAACACATAAGTGGTTATCTCCTTGTATGTATACATCTGACCTAATTGTCAATATATTCCATACATAATTTATATATTCAAAAGATTATTAATTAGTACAAAGACAATTGTCCTGTTGAAAGTTTAAAACATCAAAATAGTTAAAAATAAGAAAACGATATACTTGAAAGATGTTTCTGAAAAACAGTTAGGTTATTTATTGATATCTCCATATGCCCATATGGAGAAATTCGAACACTTAACTTCTATCTGAAGCTTGTGCTGATGATGTCGTTCAGAAGAACGATGAAAGCTCCACGACCATCCAGCTCAGAGAACAATACTCCATCAAAAACATAACATATGCTAATCAAAGTTTTGCTTTTTAAGGATCACTGTACAATCAAGAACTAATCTTAGCTAGTTCACCATTGAAAACGTAGAAATACAGGATACACGTATCTTTCTAGTATGGAACTCTCCAACAGTGCTCATTCATGACCTCGCAGTCAGAAATCAAACCCAAGATCTTTTTTACATGTGAACGCTTAACATCTAGACCACTGAGCCGGCGTCCAACGGTGTTATTGTCTTGCTTTAATCAATTCACGATCTTTAGCAACTCTCATCCATTGCATGGATTGGATAACCATCTTCCATCCGGCATGGATTCAACTCCATAGGTTACGGCATCTCACTAGAACTCCGGTTGCATCTTAATACTGCTGACTAATTCAATAGTCTCATACTGAGACGAAACTGCCGCTCAGTGTTTCCAGGTTTTTAGTGATGGTCTTATTAAGATTAGTACATAATTTAAATTATGAAAATTTTGCAATCTTCACAAATTCCCTATACTCTTTCAAGAAACCAACAATTTCGTCTTATCATTTCCTCCTTTACAAAAAGATCTTAAAACTATATTTCTGGGTCAACACTGCTAATTTACTTATTTCTAACAAAACATTATGCTATCTGACGAACCTACTTATTTTTTTGAAATTATTAATTCAGGTTGAGGAAATACATGGGCTTGATCGTGTGTCTCGCGAACTCACCATTGAATCATATGTTGTTCTGTGGAATAAAGAAAGTAAGGTGAAACCTTTCCACTGATTATGTATAATTATGTTTTCGGTGAATGGTTTTATTGTTGTCTGTTAATCACTTCCCAGCCTTCTTTTTCGTTTCGTTTACCTCCAGCTAATAAGTTAAGAATTTTTGACAACGCTCTTGTCAAAGTATTTGATTCTTGAAAAATTTTGCACAGATTTTGTTCCTACTCACAAATGTGAAGAAAGCTCAGTGCTCTGCACACATAAATCGGTATACATTGAATTAAAACTCAACAATTTCCACAAACATATACTGATAATTATCATGTGCTCGCTAGTGAGCAGCTTCGAGAGGTGATTCTCGGAGTACTAGTGAGAAGCTGTGACCAGTAGAGTTTAAACGTGTTAGGTATGAGACAGTTACGCACTGAAGGCAATGGAGGATGATCCGACAATATCGTATATTGGTTAAAGCCAGACATTAACAGCGTTGGATAATGGTTCAGTGGTTTAAATGCTAAGTGTTTGCACGCGAAACCGAAGATCCTTGGTTTGAGTCCCGCGTGCAGCGATCGCGGATATGCACTGCTGAGGAGTTTTATACTAGGAAGAAATGGCCGCCTAGTGCTTGCAGGTTTTCAATAGTGGTCTGACACTAATCAGTTCATGATCTCAATTTAAACTCAAAAATCTCCACAGCCCTATACTGATATTTAAAAATGTCAAATCATAATGTTCCAAAAGCGCCATACTGACTCATCAGCTAAATACGATACGAAACCCCCCTCTCCAGTTGACTTCAATGTAAGGCATACGAGTCAGTGTTTAAAATTCATCAGAACTAGTTTAACGTGTATATCACTGAGTCATCAACAAAGTGTTGAATAATACACGGTTGATTTAACTACCTAATGTTTTGTTTATTAGACACGTGGCTGTAATTAACTAAGTTTAATTTTTGATTAAATGAGGTACATCTCAGTAAATTCAATAGTACTCTTTAGTTGTAGGATAATCAACAACTTTAGGTTTGCTACATGAAAAAATATTTCTGCTCTATAATAATAACTACAAAGTTCTTACTTCATAACATCGTATCTGATACGGTATCATGAATAGTGGATTAGCAATCGCCAAACACTCTTGTTATTGACTGCTTCAAATCCACATATTTTATAAACAATTATCTAATGGTTTATGGTTTTTCTCTTGAAACCTAGACCCTTATTTAGTATGCCGTGAAGATTTTCTCCATTGGTCTCTATTTAAACAGTAGCGAGTTTGTTCACGAAGATAAAACACAAGTAAACAATATTAAATCAACCTGTTTATCTTCAAATTTCTTTTTACCCAGCTTTTATTTTTAGAAATAAATAGCTTAGAGATAAAAAGATATGTTTTATTGAGAACATTAAATAAACTATTGTAGTTAAACAACGGTTGTTTATTTGAGGTTAGATGAATGTTTAAATATTGAACAAGCAGGGAATGTACGCGCGTATATACAAATGGTCTTCCATTTTAACATTTTGTTATAGGTTTCACTGTAATATAGACAAGTAACTATTCGAAAGTGATTGTTACATCTTGTTATTTGGTATTTAAGAATACATTAAGATGATAGATTTGATTTAAAAAGTGTGATTTATTTAAGAAATGAAAATTGTTCAAATCAACTTGATCTTCTCATTACAAAATTGAAGTTTATAAAAGGTATCAAATGTTCTAATACTAAGTATATCATTAATCAAAACGGATGAATCGTTGTTATGATTAATATGAAATGTCTGGTATATTGAGGAATCATCTTTCATTTATTCCATGTAGTTCTAATGTGATCATCATTTTGTTCTGAGACTTGTTTATAAATCCGTTTGTAAAGGAACTAGCAATTGTTTCTTGACAGTCAATTGGCAACAATCAGACATATGACCTAAGAATCATAAATTTAGTGTGCAGAAAATGTTAAATTGTACAGCGGAGATGATGGATAGATTTCAAAACAAAAATAAACATCTGAGAAAGCATCAGTGATGAGATTTGTACTCATTTTTATTCATTTATACCCTGGATATCTCATTAAATATTCCATTGAATAATGTGAACGTGAATATCTCTTTCAATACAACTAAATTTTGGTGAAATGAGTAATCGTAGGCATAGAAAATCCTGACTTCATGAATACTTAAATGATAATAACAGCAATAGCCATATTAAGTTGAAGCATTTTATCTATCTTTTTTATTTGAATGCTATTCACTGTGTAATTCTGTATAAATGGCTTTCCAGCGAAATATCTTAGTGTCAAAACGTGATGACTCTCCATCGTAAGCTAGGAAATCAAAACCTAAGTTTACAGCAGTACAAAAATCTATTAAGATTTGAACGGAGTGAAATTCATAGGTTCATAGTTTTCAGACCTGTTAATAGCTACTTAAATTGGAATAAAAATATGGCGACTAAGTCATCTAATGACATAAAAAACAATTCATCAGTGAGGCTAAATACTTATGTAGATGAAAGTGAGATTTAAATATATGGTAAAGAGTTGTAATTAAATTAATTATGTTAAACCACAATGTATTATTAGGTTATAATCTATAAACTATGAAGTCTTCTATTTGTTACCTAAGTAAAGTGCTGCACCTAGAAGAACTAGGAATAATTTGAACATTAAGACCTCCCATTATTATAAGTGTTTCACAGTCTATGAGAACTTCTTGGTCCTCCCATTAGCAGGTGTTAGCGTTAAGCTTTTTATACACAACGTTTTTGAGGCACACTACAGTGATTGGAAATTTGAGCGGGGACCTTACAGATACATTGACAGAAGGAAATTCCTTAGTGTATTACCAAGATGAAGGTCACTATGGAAATTAGATGTAGTTGAATTAATTTACTAAGTATTTTAATAATAATGATAATTAAGCCAGGTAAAGTTAGGTGGGCGAGAATGAACGTATTATATATGTATTTCATAATAAGCGCGCAATGAAGTACAAAAAACCATCGCTTAGTACAAGTATCACAGTGATCCAACTTATTTCACTGTTTTCCATGTTTTTGCATAACAAAAACATAGCCAAGTCCTGGTCAGTAAGTTTGAAAGAAACCTCCTGTTTCTGTTGTCTTTATAAGATGACTAATATTTAGACTACTCATTTATTTTGCTGGGTGAACTTGATAGATTTGTGTATAAGTATTTGATAATTCCAACTTAGAGATGGATTATTCAAATGACCACTCTGTTAGCTGAAGATAGTTTAAATAAACCCACGCTGTGCTTTGCCGTTGAAAAGTAACTATGGTTCCCACCGTGAACCGTCGGAGTCTAGGGACGTTCATATTTCTTAACCGACTGTCTCACCTTCAGAGTTAGTGTCTTTAACTGTCTTTTAAATTTCCGCTTCTGCATGTCACAAAATGTCCTAGAGGTTCGAGTTTCTTGACCAATTATACCATTTCCTAGGGGGAATGTTTCACGAAATTCGTTTTTGGAGATTCTTAACTATGTTAATCTTTGAGTACGGTGCGTACGGAGAAATTATCATAACTCCTTCACTTCTAAGTATTTCCTTCAACATTATTCTTTCGATTGTGTCTTAAAGCTACAGAGGAGTTCTGAGTAGTTTTTCAGGTTTAATTTGGAAAAAATAACTACTACCGTCCATTTGATTTCCATGTTTTTATCTACATTGTGTTAGAAAGAGCTTGTAGCTAGTCGACAAATTGATGTTTGTTATGTTGAAAAGATGTTCCTATTTCTTAGAAGCCATCCTAGTAATTATATTAGAGTTAATAATCATGTCACCTGATGGACGTCTTCTGATATTTAGTCTTTCAGTAGTTGGGGTTATGTTTTACCTCTTTCCCAGTTGTTTAATCAGTTTTCTCAATAACCTTTCGCGATAATAGCAATGTGTTTGCAGACGTTACGCTAAAGGACAATAAACTGCTGGCTGTAACAAAGAGCATCGATGTAATCGCAATACTGACTTACAAAAAATGTTGAATGAGGTCCAGTTCTGGACAGTTTGTTCAGTCTTTACTGATATTGCACAAACCGATTAAACTAAAGCTTATTGTGTAGCAGCTATTGTGAGGTCAGAGCGATCATCTTAGAATCAGTTGTCCCATTTACTACGCAGGTGAATGAAGCGTAATTTTCCCATACATGTTTTTGGTAATTGTAATGACAAGTCGTGAACTATTATTTACCAATTAAAAAAGTCACTTAGGCTAACTAAAATCCATTAGCGAAAGTTAAAGCGTAAAATGGATGCAAATCGACTTCGCTTATGTAAAACTATGACTACCTTAAAAATCAGGTAGTAAAATTATATGAAAATTTAATTAGCTATGAACTCAAACAATACTCAAAGCGTGAAATACCTAATGCCCCCAAATGCCTTGTTACGGTTGTTCAACCTAAGACCTCTCAAAGTCTGACTTACAACTTGCGGATGACTCTCGAAGTCACACTGTTCCGTTATATTCAGAGGTCGTGGTGCTTCTATTCTTCAACTGTTTAGCTCATGCACGTCATGGTGCTTGTGGTGGCGGTGTTTTAATTTTCTGAAGTTTTTATCAAGAGCTTTAAAAGTGTTTTGGCTACCGTTAGCACTATAAATGTCATGATCGACAAGTAGAGCAGTTCTGCCAAGGTAATGTCAAATTGTATTGTAAGTTGGAAAACGGAATGTCAAAGTTATGTGTAATGAAGTAAGATTCTCATGGTAAGCAATAAATGAGTTTCACTGTCCTTCCATATTTGTTGATTAAACTGTCTAAGCTGGTACATTATTGAAACGTTAGAGTTTGCGGTATCTTGTACATTGTCAAGTCCAATTTATTCTGTAGTGGACCGAGAATATATCAATTCCAAAAGAATTATAAAGTTATTACGTCCAAAAATTAATGTAGTAATATAATAAATATAATCTATACACAAGAGAAAACTACACAGGACGTTATTTAAATTGTCAGGAATTGGCGTGTTAGAGTTCCTTTTGGTCTGGTAATTCACAATTTTAAGTAGCTCACGTGCAATTGAGTTTGTTCACATTTAATTCGGTAAAGCCGTTTTGTTAAATTAATTAACAAACAGAGCCATACGTACAATAACTACTTATCTATATCATAGTACGTATCGTTACCAAGGTTTAACTTGATAATTTCGAATAAATTGAGCATTGGATAGATTGTTATAAATACATAAATAATATATTTGTAATATCCCAACGAGTAGAAAAATCAGATTTTCTGACGTTTCGTTGGGATATTACAAATATAATATTTATTTATATATCATTGTACCTTTATTATTGCGCTTGTACGAATAGGTATGCTTGAGCACTGCTTACCACCTATGCACATATTTATTCTACTAGATTTAATGACAGTGACTTAATTGATTCGATGATTCACTCATTTCCCTATGTATATATATGTACATCTTAATCCTGTTCATTGATTCGCTCATTCAACTCGCGAACTCTCACGCTCACTTGCATTTCGGCACAAGCCTTTTATTCCTGTTTCGTGTATTTGTAGTTTTGACGATCTGTACGTCGTGCAATAATAAACGCGATCAACGCTTCGTACTCGTCTTCTGATTTATACACCGTTGGAGACATTATTTAGTAACGGTTACTAGGATGAACTGTACGAAGTTTAAGGATTATATCAAATACCGACCATTACAAATATCCCCAATAACAATTGTTATAGTTTGAGATGTATATCCAGATAAAGCATGTAATGAGAATATTACTGTGGCCTGTAAAAGTAGATAGCAACTATACCAGAGTTCTGTTATCGTAACATCAGGTATTTGAGATGTGTGCAGCAGTGTACTTGTGAGTGGTAATCAGTGTGACATTATATGACGAATTCAAAACGAAAACAGAAAATCCAACGTCATGCTTTTTTAAACAACTATTTTACAGTTAATCGTAGTAATTGTACCAGTTATGAGAATTAATTAAAGAAATATAAATACTGGCGAAAACCAGTTACAAAATAAGTCTCTACAATTCACTCCTCTTGAGCCACTCTTCGACCATTTCAATTATTCGCTTATCAACCTCAACTGTTTTTATATGGGGTGTATATGTGCATTGGTTGCCCTTTTCATCACTTGCCTATAGCTTATTTTTGTCTGACTTTATATATCCAGTCACGCTTGATCTAATTGATCTAGCTACCTCTTCCCCACTTCCCTTTTCTCACTCGCTTCTGGTTCAGAACGTCTGTCAGGATCAATGGGTGTACGAAATACTCGTGTTCAAAATCCATTCGCGTATATGACTTGTTTTGTTTCGTCATTCTTTAAAGTGAATTAATCAGCAATTATGTACGAGGGTAGCCAGGATTTTTGACAACTTCATACGGTTGGATTAGAGTCAGCTTACTGTCCACTAAAACTGCGATAGTATAGTTTTAGGAGAATGAAATACACTCAATGCAACTCTGATTACTGCGATAAAGTCTATGTTGACTGCAAGGATTAAGTCGAGTATATCATTCCCCTCAATCGGCTTTTGCACTTGTTGGAACTGCACACAAATTTTTATCATTCCGAATAAGTTGTTATATTGTTCTGGTACCAAGGCCGAATTTCGTGTGATGTTTGGCAGATAAA